TCTCCAGTAGAGATGTCCTGATTTTGTGTGCACATGACATCAACTTTCACAGGAGCAGAAGCTTTTCACTTGGTGCTGTTTGCTTATTCCTGAGTACTACATTATTAATCCCTGTAACCACTGCCTAATGGCTTGTGCCAATTCCACGTTATAGACGGTGCCTTAGGTTTGTAATGGTGCCAGTGTTTCCAGTGGGGTTTTTTTTTTAAGTTCAGTTGATCTCAACATGCCACTTCAGGTTCAGCTAATGTTACCAGGTATATGTCATTTCTTTCAATAGGCAAATAAAAGAACATGTTGGTAATGCGCTAGTTCTCACGCTGTCTCTGCCAGGAACAAAGTGTTCGTTAGAACTGCCAAATTTAGTAAATTGTTTGTAGGTAGGTTAACGTTGAAAAGCCCACAGGCACCACAGCTTGGAGTGGTATGGCAGCTGGAGGGATCCGGATGCGGGGTTTTGACACCCAGTTAAACTTTATTCTGTAATTCTTTTAAGTTCCTTAGTTCAAATGGGTTTTAATTCAGCTATTATAAAAGTTACAAATACCTCAAAGTGTTAACTTTGATTTCAAACTGGTCCTCTTAGTGCACACATGTGCATCATCATCTTTGCTTTGGTGGTTGTAGGTTCATAAGGAGAATTAAGGTCATTTCAGTGTATTAATAAGTAGTTTTTACACTTGAAAGTGCAAATACGTTGAGAAAGGACATTATTAATAAGTGTGTGTACACATAGAAACATGGTTGTTTCAGGGTTGTTCCTGGGTGATTACGCTAACGACTCTAAACGGGGGAGTGTTATTGTTTTAATAGAGGCCTGAACATTTTCCACTAAATGTCTGACCATTTGATAAGCTGCGCACTACTCTTGAATACATTAAATGTACACTTTTGATAAAACCGTTAAGTTTTCTCAATGCAAGAAACTTGCTGGTGTTTAAGCTAGCTGTGGTTGTTCTTCAGATAACTACGAGATCTTTCTATGGTCATATTAAAAACATCACTGCAGTGACCAGCATTTGTAGAGCAGTATATATAAATCCACCTTCCTCCAGTTCACCCCTACAGCTTTGTCATCAGCACTGTGTGATCCACTGCAGGCAGGTCTGAATCCAGGGAAGCACGGCAGCGTTTTATAAAGTGAGCTTATAAAATTGCTCAACTGCCTCGAGCCCAGCTTTTTCTAGGTTGTGCTGCTGAAAGTGTCACTCTGCAATTGCTTGTTCCTCCATTGTTCTCAACATCCATATCTGTGTTCTTACAGATTCGCGCTGTTAGACCTCAAGTTTTGATGAGGCTCTCCAAGACCAAGAAGCACGTTAGCAGGGCCTACGGAGGATCCATGTGCGCCAAGTGTGTGCGTGACAGGTAAAAGATGCACTTCCCTTCATCTTCTGATGCTTGTTACTGAGAAAATAGATTGATACAGGCATCAAACTTTAATTTGAAAGCACTAAAATACAAACTTGTTAGGTATGCTGTGATCAGCTAATTCATTATGTTAATTGATCTCCTTTGTTTTTTATTATTAGGATCAAGCGTGCTTTCCTGATTGAGGAGCAGAAGATCGTTGTCAAGGTGCTCAAGGCACAGGCACAGAGCCAGAAGTCAAAGTAAACTGTGTATTTGTATTGCCACAATAAAAAATGTCAAACAAATCCACTACATGTTGTGAGTCACAGCATTTTTTTTTTCTTTTATTGAAATTGCTGAACAGTCTGTGTGTTTGGGGTCTATTTCAAAGATTTGTTTTTTTTTCCTCTGGTCTTGTGCCAGGTCCCTGGTTAAAGGGGGACCTCACACATGCAGAGCCTTCTGTTGTGTTGATCCCTCAGGATTAAGGAAGCAACTGGAAATAAATTTTTGCATACATGTTTAACAAATGCAAAATTATCACTAAAGATGTTACAAAATAACATGTTTGGACAGCAGGACTGTTACAGGGAGTCTTCAAAAATGTCTGGACTGTGAGAAGAAAAGCGTGCACCTAGGATCAAACTCTGCAGTACTTTTTTTCTTTTTTGACTTCAGTTTCATTTGGGGTGCTAGCAGGTTCAGATCTTGGTTGTGTTCATGGGGCCCTTTGTGACATGTTTTTGCAGTGTCTAAAGGTTCAGTTCTGCTGAAGAAGACCTTTGCTATGATAGGGTACTTCATGTCCAAGCATAACGTACAGCTGTGTTTTTGAGGTATTTGAGTTTCCTGTGCATTATGTGAGCGATCAGTAGTTGATCGCAAGTAAATGGAACAGAAAACGACACTATTTTATTTATTAATTTTTTTAGGCTTGTGAAACACCTGTGCCCTAAAGTAAGTATTATGACCATGTAATTGACTAAAAGTCACTAAAGCTTTAAAATAGATGCTATGGAGTAGGCGTACCAACTACATTTCAAAGTACCAAAATGAAATATTTCATTAAATGTGGTTTCTTTCAACCATTGGTCCAATTCACTGATACAGAAGTGTTTAAGCCACCAAGGATGCTAATCAGAAGTGTGACTGTTTAAAAGCAACAATCCAAGGTATCACTCAAGAACTCCTTTGGTGGCAGTCATAGTAAAACAAATGTATATTGTGGCATTATGCATGTGTATCTTGAATGGATGCTTGGTCTTGTAACACCAAACAAATTAATAACTCGTCCTCTGCTGTGTCCTCCAATGAAGGCACTCGAAATAATTAAATGCCTGGATGAATAAGGACCATTAAAGCATGATCATGTTGACTTTTCGCAGTGAAGGGGAAAAAACATAAGAATAGAATAGATGAGTATATCCCTTTATTGTCATTGTACATGCACAACGAAATTGTAGGTGCTCCACACCACAACTGCGCCGGAATAAAAAAGAAAAGAAAAGAAGAAGCTAGAACTTTAACTAATGAAAATAATGAAATATTTAAATGCAGTGAAGTGTCAATAAAAATGAATGAAATTGGTTTCATAGGAGCGTTTTGGGTGGTAAGGTTTCATTCAACAAAGCTGTGCACTTAAATAAACCCTCTAAAAGTTTACTGTCTCTTTAAGAAACGAAACAGTAAAAGATTGGCCTTACCCAACATATATATATATATATTTTATTGATTGATTCTTAAATAAAATCGGGTTAATGTAACTATAAATGCAATATGTTTTTAATGCTAGTAAATGACAAAAAAAATCCCTTTAAAAAATATTAACGCCTAGTTGGCTGAAAAAAAATGTACTTCCGGGACACGTCAGCCGAGTGTTTGCGCTTGCGCATTCAGCGGCGGAGAGGTCCTCTACTGTGGTGACTGGAAATATTTTCATACACCATGGAGACTTTATACAGTATACCTTTTGCTGTGCTTGAATGTCCAAACATAAAACTGAAGAAACCGTCATGGCTGCACATGCCGTCGGCCATGACTGTCTATGCGATCGTTATTGTGTCCTACTTTCTCATCACTGGAGGTAAATGCTAAGCTAACGTAAAAGCCTGAAGGCTAGCTAGATAATTCTGTGTTGCATTTGATGTTATCAGTGTAGTATTTAATGCCAATACTCAGTTACGTGCTTTTGTTGCGTTGTTAGATTTGCGGGGTTTTGTTGCGCTTGTAAACCAGCGTGTAATACATCACAAAATAATATAAGAGAATAGAGGGCTAACAAACTAGCCTACCTTAAACTAACTGAATATCTGTAGTTTACTTTGTCTTTATCTTGCTGTAGTTGTTGTTGATCACTGATGTTATGGTGATTATCACCTCTCTGTTCAGTCAGCGCTCTCACTGCTCAGACTTTACCTTAAACTTAATTAATTATGAATTCAACCTTCTTTTTTTCTTCCTCCATTCACTGCACAGGTATCATCTACGACGTCATCGTAGAGCCACCGAGTGTGGGTTCAATGACTGATGAGCATGGACACCAGAGACCGGTTGCCTTCTTGGCCTACAGGTGCGTGTAAGATTTTTGGAATTAAAACACAGTCTAAAGATTTGAAGCTGAATCCTATTGATGTGTTTTCCAGAGTAAACGGTCAGTACATTATGGAAGGACTAGCATCCAGCTTCCTGTTCACAATGGGAGGCCTGGGCTTTATAATCCTGGACCGCTCCAATGCACCCAACATTCCCAAACTCAACCGCTTCCTGCTGCTTTTCATTGGATTTGTCAGCGTGCTTCTCAGCTTCTTCATGGCCCGAGTGTTCATGCGCATGAAGCTGCCGTAAGTCGAAGCTCGAATCTATCGAATCCAGACCCACGTGTCAAATACTTGTTGTCCAATCTGAGCTTACAAAGTTGTCTAAAGGGGAGACTGAGTCGTTGATTGTACTTCTTTGTAGCTGTTGTCTAATTTGTGCTAATTTGTCTTTTCAGGGGATATCTCATGGGCTAGACTTGCAATAAGCAAATTCAAATGAAGAGGATATTAATTATGTGGAAAACTTACATGCAGTTCTGTTTAATTGTGGATACAGCCAACCCTTCATCGACAACCATTAAGGACTGAAAGCACTGACCTTGCTCAAGAAATTAGACCAAACTACACTGACACACTGGTTTTGTCTTTGTTTTGTAACGTCCTTTCCCACTTTCTCTTAACCTCCTATGAAGCTGGTGGAGCAGAAGGTCTTTAGCAGCTTAAATTCAACACTCTGCCACCTGAACTTGTCGTGCAGGCACAGCATCATTAATGATTTTGCCATGTTGATAAAGCCAACATGTTCTGAGGAGTAGGAGAAATGAACCTAGAGAAGGAAGAAGGGAGAGGAAGCTGCCAAACATTGATGGGACAAAATCACCAATTTCTAATTAGGACTTGCACTGTGTGAACCACTTACATGGGTGCCTGAGTGATATTACAGATGTACGTTTTTCTATAGAAAACTATGAACCTTGAAAGCCTTGAACCTGTCACAGTTGCATTTTTGTACAAGATGGTGAAATAAACTGTCCTTTTCACACCTTCTCATGGTTGTTATGTGCTGTTGAAGTAGGTTTAATAGGACAAAGCATTGTTTAAAATCACATTCATCCAGATTCTGAATTTCTTTGATTTGATTTCTGCTTAATGTAAATGATTAAATAGAAAATTAATGCTCAGAATTTTTGAGAAGATTGTTAAACTCAAGTTTACATCAGCAGCCAAACAATGTGGCGTCTTTGCATATGCAGTGTTCAGGAGATATGACGCATTTCATTTTCCCTCCAGAAGATGGCATCACAGGATCATCAGGTAATGGTGTTTCCTGGACTTACGTTTGTGTATATTTAGAAGGGACAAAGCATATTAATTAACATGAGTGCTTAAATTTGTCATCTAAATTTTCCAGATTTAGCCATACATGTTAATTTTCATCTGCAGTCAATGGAGTAGGACAGAGGTAGTAACAAGACAGTCATACAAGAAACATCTGAGCATTTGCACATTCCTGTATTTATAGCAAACAAATACAAACATTTTTGTTTGGTTTGGAATTATGCCTTTAAAAGCCGATGTGCCGCACGGTTCTGCAGACATGTTTTTAGATATTTTGGCCCTGTACTGCTATGGTAATGAGCTTTCTCCAGGAGGAAGGAACAGAGTGATCATCCCTACTTGTAAATAATGATCATTCTGGTCTACAGCTGTCTCACATTGAGAAAAACGGGGCAAGGCTTTAGTAAAGATGACTTAAGCCACCAATAGCAGTGCTTTGCTTAAAATGTAAGTGACTATGGAGAGGAAAGTAGGCTTACCAGCCGCATTAAAATTGCACTGAAATGAAGATGTGCCAAAGTAGCACTCCTCCGTCCTTTTCTTAACAAATGTTGCAGTGGATCATTTTCCTTTTATTTACAAGCTGGTATATTAGATAGCACCTTTCTCTGTAATCATCTCATCCTTGTCACATTATGGAAGAAGTCCTGGGACTTAGACAACTCCTGAGCCTGAGAGTAAATCTATTACCTTTTATGAACAACATGTATTTTCCATCTTCACAACAGTGAACTTTCTATAGGAGAGGTTACTTTCACCTTTAAGGAAGATGAGGATATTGGTAATTGCAGACTTTTTAGCAGGGACATTGTTTTTTTTGAGGCTCAGTAAAATAAAGATACTTTGCAGACATATACACAGTACATCAGCGTTTTTACTTTCATGTTTTCTGTATCTGAGTGAGGGCTGCTCACACACTGGCCTGGGTTAGAAATCCCTTTTTATAGCAACCAAGTACTACATACGGTATTTTATTCATTTACAGTTCAGTTACTTCTCTGTAAAAACATGTAATGGCCTTTGCAAGGCCGTATTTTTAATGCTAAAGGCACACAAAGATATTGATGCATATTTTCAGATCTACATGTTTAGATTGATCCATTTATGATTCCCTGATATCGTGAATAAGGCTCTTGTACCCTGCTAACTCACATAATAAGGTACATTTTTATGCAGCTAAAAAACATGCTACACATGCTATTACGCAAATATTAAAAAAATACCTGAGAAGTCAATCTAATTGATATGCAGCATATTATCAATATAAAAACATTTATCATCAAATTACGGCCCTTTAACTCTAGAGATGTGCCACCTGTGTTCTTGTGTTTGTTCACAGGCGGCTTTATGTCCTGAGGCGTTTGCTTTGTTTGGTTTGTTGAGGAGACCCTTGACGGCTTCCTTTGCTGTGTAGCACGCCACTGTGCCCGTTTTCATCAGTCAGCAGCTTCACATAAAAATTGTAAAGAAATAAAGTCAAAATGAAAACCGGTGACAGCAAAATCATGAACACTTTCATTAAAAAAAAACTTTTTGATAATCAGCAAAGTCAAACTTACTTTCCTTTTATTGCTTTCATTTTCTACAGTCAGTGCGTTGTTCAGCTTCAGGTCCAATGCTTCCTCCAGTTCTGGAAACAAACATAATAAAACACACTGTATGATTAAGAGTTTGCTTACACACCTTGACCCTTCTAGTAGTACACAAGCCACAAAGTGGGGAAAAAGGAAATACCTGTGAGAATGACATCAATTTTCTCCACGACCAGCTCAGCATCTTCTGTAGTGAAGCACATTGGGGGCTTGAACTTGAGCACGTTGCGATGAGGTCCGTCAGCACTGAGAAGGATGTGCTGTTCCTTTAGCCTGGGAGAAGTTATCAACCTTTTAGCACTCTGTTGCTGTTGAATGCACATATTCTCACTTAAAGCAGTAGAATAGAAATCAAGTGAAAACAAAAGTGAACTGTTTATTCATACATCTTCTTAACCACTTCTCCAGCTTAGGGTTGTTTGAGGGGGATCACCAGACAGACAGAGAACCACACACAACTTATTGAGCATGTCTCTGGACTACGGAAAGAAGCCAAACCAGCTGGAGTGAAACCAAACAAGGCACAGGGAAAAGATGCACAGTCCACACAGAAACGCTGCAGCTAAGCATCAGATTTGAACCCAGAACCTTTTTGCTGTGAGGCAGCAGTGCTAACCGCTCCACTCCACTGCCCAAAGATGAATCAGTGAGTGAAAGCAACAACAAAAAGTTGCAAACAGAACACAAACCTGGCTGACAAACTTCCAACTCACACCGCTGACACACCTCCAATAATGTACACTTTATAGGTCTCTAAAACGGGAATGCAATCTCTCCGCATGCTGATGCACTGACGCACTGACACCTTGAGGTGCCGTGTGACAGGAGTAGCATTATTTGATGTCCATGTATGATTGCAACCCCAGTCACGTGAAAGCCAAGTTTGCGTGTTAATGAGGCCTTACACGCTTGTGTCTCATTAATAAACGCAGCTTTCAAGCTGACAGGAAGAACAAAATAGTCCTCGTGGAGCTCAGTGCCGTTTGTGTGAACTCAGATTGTTACAGTGGTTTATTATGCAGTGCTTTCACACATGGGTACATTGTGTAAAGGATTATTCATTAAGAGAGCCAGAGGAGGAGGAGGAGGTGATAATAAACTGTTACTGTCACTTATACATGTAAGCAATGCAGGTTTTATTATCGCTCTTTATTTTTAATTCTTACTTAGGTTCATAAGTCTTGTTTTGTTGTGTGATATACTGTATGATTGGACTGCAGAAGCATAACCACTGAAAACCATCCTCAGTACAGAATAATATAAGCAGTCTGTTTGATTATATAATATGGTATTGCTGATTACTCACATACTTTAATCTGAGTAATCCCGTCTGGACTACTGTAATTCACTTTATGTGGGGGTCAGTCAGTGGTTGGTCTTACGTCTGCAGCTGCACGACTGTTAACAGGAACTCGTAAAAGAGAGAATATGACCTCTGTGCTGGCCTCACTGCACTGGCTGCCTGTGTCTTTCACAGTTCATTTTTTGTGAAACCATTTGTTTTTAAATGGTTTCACGATCTTGCCCCGCCTTACCTCTCTGAGCTTCTTCATCCCTAAACACCCTGTTGGTCTCTTAGGTCAGCTGACCAGCTGCTCCTGGCAGCACTGAGACCTAGGACAGCTGGTCCCCAACCTTTTTTGCGCCACAGACCGGTTTATGTCTGACAATATTTTCACCGACCAGCCTTTAAGGTGTTGTGGATAAATACGACAAAATAAAACCAGTGCCAGTACCAAAAAAAAGAAGATTTGCTAATAGCACACGGGACAAGACCCAGGGAAACAAAGTTAATGATAAAAACGATAAAGAAAATAACAATAACACCATTGAAAACCATAAATTTCACACCAGTGCCTCAACTCTCACAGCCCGGTACTGGTGCATGTCTCCAGGGTTGAGAGGCCCCTTAACTTAAACACCACTTAAAACCCATTTTTATTCTTTGGCTTTAGGTAAAACTTAGTTTCTCTTGTAATTAAATTAATTATTAACAAACTAATGAATTGTTTTACTTTTTTTAATTTGGCTTTTATTTATATCTTATTTTATTATTTAGTTCCAATGTACAGCACTTTGTGTCAGCTGTGGTTGTTTTAAAGTCCTATATAAATAAAGATTATGATCATGATGATGAGTTTCCACATTTAAACTTACCTATATATGACTTCCTGTGCCTCTGCTGTGGCAGGAGTGAGCTTCAGCCTGTCCCTGACGAGCTCCACGCCTACAAAGAGACCACGACCCCTGCAGGATGTGACACCATCAGGGTTTGTAAGGTATTAATTTTGCATGTATTGTTTTTATTTCTAAATAATTTTCAGAGCAACACTTCCCTGTGAAGTCACTAGGTTGCACGTTCAGCCAGGATTTATAGGAACACAGCATAGTGTGGTGTTAAAGACTGCTAAAGGATTAGTTCTAAAGTACGCGGACAGCTTATCTGATGTTGCACTGTGTCACATGCTGTGTAAGCGCACCTGATATCTCCGATCAGCAGGTGCTTCTCTTTCTGCTTCTCCAGCAGACTGGTGAGGTATTGCCCCACACGCAGTGCGTTGCCCTGCAGATCCTCTTTCTCAATCACGTCTAGGACGGCCAGACCGATGGCACACGACACTGGATTACCACCAAACTGAGGCCACAGATAAGCAACACACAGAGGAAAGATGACACCGAGATCAAGTTCACATTTCCCATCAATCTGAAAATCTGCTACACCCTACTCTCCATAAATGTTTCATACAGTATGTTAAACACACACCTGTCTAGATAGCACATGAGCAGTGATTTTTTTTTTTTTTAATGTATGTCTGGTAACAAAAGAGAAACTCATTTTCTGATGAAAATACATCCTAGTTTTGTTTTTTTTCATGGGAAATAATTACAAATCAAGACTCAATGAGAAAAACAGGCTAGCTTGAATGCAGCATATTTCCACAACATGGGAAAAACAGATGTGTGGATGTGCTTGGAAGCTCTGGACAAAAACACGGAAGATGAGGACAGGTCAGCAGCAATTCTGGTGAACTTGGGAGGGAAAGCAAATATCATGTAATGCAATCTTTTTGTGCTTTTATGTTAAAACATGTATGCAACTTTTTAAATAGCTTTCATTTATTATCACTTGCACAGCTGTTCATGATCCTACATAAGGCTCTTACTGTATTGAAGTACTCCATCCCAGATGACATGAAGGCCTCTGCCACCTCTTTGGTCGTGACCACACATGACATGGGGTGGCCGTTGCCAATGGGTTTTCCCATCGTGACAATGTCGGGCACAAAGTCCTCTCCCTGAAGCTGGAAGGCCCAGAAGTGGGAGCCTACTCTCCCAAAGCCCACTTGGACTTCATCTGCGATAAAAACGCCCCCCGCTTCACGGACGTGCCTGTAGAGGGGCAGAGTAATCAGCGTGGGCAGGGGTAGACTCAGGTTGTCAGGAGTGTGATTTCTTGGGTACATACTGTGCCACTTGCTGGAAGTAACCCACAGGGGGAATGACCTGCCCACCACAGCTCTGCAGTGACTCAGCTATAAAAGCAGCAATCTGCACAAGAGAACAAACATATCCAGATAAAGCCAGACGGATAAACAGAAAACAAGTGGAGGTATCCTGTCATCTTTGACCCTGAGCTCTTCCCTTTACAGTTGGCTGTTCAAAACAAGAGAGAGGAGGTAGTTACAGGTCCATGTGGACAAAAATGAACAACTCTTAACAGTCTGCTGAGAATCATTCTTAGTCATCTGCTGTGTCCTTGCTTAGTGTCATGGTCCTGTAATCACACTATAGCATTTGAATACTGGCTCTATAACAATGCACAGCTTTCACGCTTTTCCTGGGATTGCTAGCTTCTTCTCATTAACTGTACCTTGCCTCCTTTCTTGTAAGCTTTGTTTATTATATCTTTGACTTCATCTGCATACGCGGTGGCAGGATCAGAGTGGTCTGCTCTGTGTTTCCCTCTGTACACATCTGGACTGGAAGCCTGCAAGAGACAAGAAATGGTTAAATATTACAAAGGTATTCACAAATCAAACTGGATTCTTAATGGGTTTTAAGTAAACCTAACATGTGGCTGAATTACGTATTATATTAAAAAAATGTTTAGATAAAAGTGGATAAGCAGCTCTTTATGTGAGTGAAGGAATACTGTTTATATCTATATATGAATTTATTTTTATTTTATTTTTCTGTGTTGCATTTTATACATTGCCTCGGTCAGCTGCACATGGAGATCAGTGTTATTCAGATCGCTGGAGAACTCATTTCCTACTAAACCAAGTGATTTGTTCCTTTCCTTCTTTTTCATCTGGAGTTTTAGCTGAAATATGAGGGAAACCTCATTCCACAATTCCCAGAATGCACCACAGCAGCACACAGTACAGCCCTTAAATTCATTGTGGTACTTTAGGTGTAATTTATCCCTAAAGTTCTCATTAAATGATGAAAAAGACATAATTTTGTATTATTTACTATGTTTAATGTATTTATTTTTTTTAACCGAAAATCTTGAAACAAATTCTAGTTTCAGAAACTGTAAATTATTTCACGATTTTAGGTCACAGTGCACTGGATGTCTTGTTGTAAAAGTAAAAAAAACCCATTTTTGAGCTTTAATTTTCCAAACAGAAACTCCAAAAGACCCTCAAAAAAGGAAAAGACCACAATAATCTAACAGTCTGGAGATAAAATTACCTCTTTGTGGGGATTTTAATCTTTCTCCTGAGTACCATTGTAGGATTTTTGGTTAATAATCTCCTTTTTTTGTTTGCCATTCTTCTCACTGTCTGTGTTCCTCAACATATGCCTCTGACAGCAAGCAGCTCTCTTTCAGAGCCACTTACATTACACCCTGTTGAATCTGCAGAAAAAGACCCCTTTCATTCTATTTCTCTGTCTCATTCTGTGTCTCTTTTATCTACACATATGCACACGCATGCATGGTGCACACTCAGTAGGCTGCCAAAGCCCAGCGGAGCAAGTTGAGTTATGGTGTTTTAATAGTGTGCACGCAGGCAGCCGGGGAGAGAAAAAACACTCACCACATGGACAAATTGATTCTGCTCAGTATCTGACAGCTGGTGGAACTTATATGGACTGATGTCAATGAGCGATGAGACGTGGCCATGGTACGCACTGCAAACAAAGAAAACTGTGGGCCAAAGCAGTAAATTCTATTAAAACACTGACACATGAAGACCCAGCTCCTTTCGCCACACGGCGCTACAAACCACTAACTAGTAAGACTTTTACCAGCTCATTATCACTGTTGTTTTCATTCGCCAGGTTTTTTTCTGTAGAATGACTGGTTGACGGCAGCACTTACTTTTCCAAAGTGATGATATCTCTGTGGCCTGTGTATTGCCGTGCTAGTCGGAGAGCCAGGTCGTTGGCTTCGGAGCTGAAGTTCAAACAGGCAAGGGTTACTTTGAGTTACTCAGTCACCACAAAATACACAGGTGAAACCGCTGATATCACTTGAACGTCAGAGGGAGTTTGCTGTTTCAGTTCCCACCGTGAGGCCATGCAAGGCTAATTGTAAAAACTTAGTGGGGCTTCTTTACCTCTCTATGAAATCACATGAAGACATTTTTACTAATTCAAGGGTCTTTGCCCCATTTGTCTGTTATTTTAAAGGCTTGGTGCCTCTGGTTTTATTAAACTTTTTGTTGCTAATGCACAACCAAGTCCTGCAGTGGTACTTCTGAGTAAAAAAAAATCATAAAATATGTATGTGGGGTAATCAAGTTAGTTTTTAACTGTTGCAAATCTGCAACGCCTGCCTTGAGAGGGTTAAAGAGCTCTCCACTCCTAAACTAAGGAAGACAAACCATAAATTCAGAAATGTCTTCAGTGGACACAGGTGTACTTTTGTACTACTGCACACACCTTAATAAGGCCTGTGTTATGCCAGATTTATATCAGGTAAGCTTTCTCGAAGCATTTATATCCCCATCGTAGTGATAAATACTGTCTGAGGGTATATGGATTACTATCTACAATCTTATTGCCCCGGAGCAGATAATTCTTCTCCTGAACTGGGGCAAAGGGTGTAAATAGGGCACCCGGAACCTTTTTATTTTCTCGACTTTCAGTCAGCTGTTAAGCAGACTAACAATAGTCTGCTTAATGTAGCGTACACATCAGAAATCTAGACAAACAACAGGTTATGAAACCGTGCAATCTGATCCTCAGCATTTGGGGTATTCCTCCACTCATACAGGCGTCTATATTCCTTGAATGCTGACAGGACCGTATGATTGCACTGCAGTCTTTTTTACAGAGTTTTGAGCTTCTCTGTAATTTGAGGACACAGCAGGACTTTTATGGCTCATGTTCACACCAGGCATAATCATCAAAGTAAATTTAGGTCTCCCATCATCTGCCTCCTCAATCCACACCCAAGTAAAAAAACACACCTGGCTTATCTTCCATCATGCTGCCTTTTGTTGTTTAGTGAAAACATGTAAACGTACCCGGAGTTGACAAAGTAGCAAACAGCCAGCTTGTCAGGCAGCGTGGCCTGCAGCCTCTGGGCATACAGGACAAGGTTGTCGTGCAGGAAGCGCGAGTTAGTGTTGAGTAGTTCCATTTGCTGAGCTCCTGCCTTCACAACATCAGGATGACAGTGGCCCACTGAGAAAAGGAAGATTGAATTAGAGTTCCTGGTTATAGGTCTATATGTAATAATAAACTTGCTTTGCTGTTTTGGTGTGACACCATCACAGGGATAAAAAGTGGTACTTCAGCGCTGGCTGCTTTCTTTCAGTGTACTTTGTGTATATATACCAGTGCATGTGTGTTTACCATGAGCCACATTGTTGATGCAGTCCAGGTAGCGCTGTCCTTTCTCATCATACATATACTGGCCTTTGGCTCGCACAATCTTGATTGGGTCATGGCTGAAAAAAATCTTACAAGATGGCCTGCAGCAGAGAAAAAACAGAATAGTGACATGTGTAGAAAGCGTGCTGGGGCAGCTGTAGGTTTTCATGTTGTGATAAAAAGATTATGAGTCATGGACACAACAGTGAAATTCCTAAGAGACACACAAAGGAACTACTACTCATTCCAGTTATTGTATATTGTATTATATTAATGTATGTAATATACATATTAAAAGTCAAATAGTAGGATACATTTAAACACCCACAAATATATACAATAGCTAAAATGTCACAGATATTCTCGAAATTAAACTTTTTAATTGTTTTTCTAGTATCTTACACTTTTTGACCACTGCCACATTAATTTGGAATCCTGCTTTTGTCAAATGAGAGCAATTATCTCACCCAATATATTTTTTCCTCAGGTCTATAGTCTCCTTTTTCTCAAACCTCTCAGCGGACATCTTGATGTAGTCCAGCTGGACGAAGCTCGACGAACATCTGCTCGAGCCGACAGAGCCCCGCTTTATACACGCGCGCGCGCAAGTGCACTACTGTACCGCAGCTGGCGCGGCGCTCGCGCTGCAGAGCTGTATGGAAACTGAAAGTGGTCAAAAATGCTCAAACTTCGCAAGCTAGCCTACACTTTCACGGGTAAAAGTTTCAAGCATTAAAAACACACACACAATAACACACACACACACACACACACACACACACACACACACACACACACACACAATCTGTAAACAACATACCGTCTTGAAAGCCTCAGGCTGAGCCGTTTCTGCAAAGACCAGGATGAAAACAACACACCTGTTTTTACTTCTTTTGAATTGAGAAATAATACCTTCAAATACATGGAGAAAAATATACTCATGGACAATTCTGAATGTGCATACATAAAATAATATAGACAAACAAATTTTTTTAAATGCACTAGAGGTAAGGTGTCAGTTTCAGTATGAGAATGAGTCAAATGTTTAATTTATTTAAACAATTGAATCATTGAATAAATCACTGGCTAAAAACATGTTGTGCATGTGTACCTGTATAAACTTACTGAGGGAACTAAATGATAATGTTGTAAATTCGGACATGCACAATATAGCAGTCAGCACTGTTCAGCTTGTTTGTAACATTCAGGTAGGACACCAGTAAATTGTTTATTTGCTTGGAACAAGACTGCAAAATGACCACACATGTAACCTTAATGTTCATCCACTTCAATTAAACTTTTATGCAGTTGCTCTATGTGGATCCATGGTTCATGTTGTTTACGCCAAATTCTGGCCCAACTATCCCAATGTCATCAAAGAAATCAAGACTCATCTGACCAAGTGATGTTTTTCCAGTCAACCTTGACAACCATCGGTTATGGAGACAAGTTCCCCATCACCTGGAATGGACGTCTGCTGGCTGCAACCTTCACTCTGATTGGAGTTTCATTCTTTCCTTCTTGTCAAGGCTTCACTCCATTGGCTGCCTGTATATCTTAGAGTTCATTTTAAAATTCTCATGTTTGTGTTTAAATGTTTAAATGGTCTTGCCCCAACTTACCTCTCTGAGCTTCTGCATCCTTACTCACCCCCCAGGTCTCTCAGGTCAGCTGAAAAGCTGCTCATGGAGGTACCCAGGTCCAAGAGAAAGCTCAGAGGGGACAGGGCCTTCTCTATTGCTGCTCCTAATCTGTGGAACAATCTTTCCCAGCACATTAGAGAGGCCCCTTCACTGTCCACTTTTAAAACACGTCTTAAAACTCATTTTTACTCTTTGGCTTATGACACAGTCTGACCCTGATTTTATTGTTTTAATCTAATGTGCTGATTTTATTGTTTTAAATGTGTTTTTTTATATATATATATGTTTTACTTATCTTCTATTATTATTACTATTTTTCTCATTTTTTTTTAACATGCTCAATGTATCATGTTTGGCATGTCAAGTGTACAGCACTTTGTGTTCAGTTGGTGGCTGATCTGAAAGCGCTATATAAATAAATTGCTTGCTTGCAGTATTCTGTTGTTCAATATTGGTGAGCTTGTATGAATTGTAGCCTCAGTTTCCTTTTTGTAGCTAAAAGGACTTACACAAGATGTGGTCTTCTGCTGCTGCGCCCCATCTGCTTCAAGATTTGACTGGTTGTGCGTTCAGAGATGCTCTTCTGCAAACATCAGTTGTAACCACTGATTATTTGAGTTACTGTTGCCTGTTGTTCTCCTCTGACGTCTGGCATCAACGAGTCATTTTCACCCAGAGAACTTCCACCACTGATATTTAGACCATTCTCTGTAAACCCTAGTGATGGTTGTGTGGGAAATCCCAGAAGATCAGCAGTCTCTCAAATACCTAGACAGCCTTTCTCGTACCAACAACCATGCCACTTAAAAAACACCTTTCTTCCCTTTTCATTTGAATCTTGACCATGTCTACTTAATATATCTTGTAGTTTGTCGTTGTTAGCGAAGGTAGAATAGCTACTGACATAGACATGCATGTTAGGTTAATAGGTGATTCTAAAGTGGCCGTGGATGTAAATTTGACTGTGAATGACTGTCACTCTGTATTAATCATGTGATAGACTGGCAATATGTCCGGGATCTACACCATGTCTTGTACTATATGACTATATACATAGTACAAGACATATGTGGATATATATGGGATAACCTACAGCCCCCTGCAACCCTGAACTGGTCAACCAGTAAAGAAAAAAAAGGATGAAAATGTTTAACAGGTAACTGGAAACAACAAATAAAAGTCCACCATTTAGTGTATTTGAAAGACTGTGTTTATTTGGCTCCAACAGTACAGTCATATGTAATGTCAACTTGAAATATAGTGAATGAACACAAGGCTCTTCAAAGAAATCTCAACCAAGTGGGCAAAAAAACACAAGAAATACCAATGCAGAGCAGAAACTGAACATTTACCACAACCCCCCAAAATTATAATCGTAACTCCAATAAGTCACAGAATGAAGTTTTCTTAAAATTTTTGCTACAGTCTGCATTTATGTGGCAACAGAATTACGTCAGCAAGGCTGCTGTGCATTGGAGCATCAACACACCCTCATGAGAAACCAGCGTCTTTCACAACATCAAGGAGGAAGAGCACTGTGGCTGCTCCCCCATTCTCCTCCTCCTACTCACTCATGTTGCAATGACTGACATGAGGCATTTCTGCGACAACACAAGAATACAGATTCTTAAAACTTGATGCTGATTCATTAAGGAGCTTCTCGCCAGGTCTGTGAACACCCATACGGGAACAAACTGTTTGGCACTTCTGCTGATAGCAGGGGAAAAAAACCTTTAACTTCAACAAATAAACACAAAACTCAAACAAAATCAATCAAATAAAAAAGTCTATTTAAAAAAATTAGCTGCACATGCTAAGAATACAGCACCTTGTGAGAACAAATACTGTAACAAAGGTTGGAAATTAAAACATAGAATAAAAACATAGTAAATACGACACAGTGGAAGTAACACTTTAAAAACATAAGTGAAGGGGCAACTTTAAGCAAAAAAGTATCTAATTTGAGGGTCTGTGTTTACATATGTTTCATTGTCTTCTGGTGAATAAAGTTTTTTTTTTTTTTTAAATGTCCCCAGGTAGTGGTATGACCGAACAAATGTAGCTACAGAAATCACTTTAATGCGATAATTCAGCTGCATTTGACGTTACACACATTAACTAAAGTATAAATTGCACTTTATGCCAAATGAGCACACACAGTACATTAATAATCCACTATACATATATCAAACTACATTCAATGCAAAGAGAAAGCGTGAGAGAGAAAAAAGGCGGTCATGTTCAGCTGTGTACTGTTGCATTGGCTGTGCCCGTCAACATTCAGGCCTTCAGTACTAGCTTTTTCTGACACACAAAATTAATAAAAGCGGATGTATGTCATGGTAAGGCCTATAAGTTGAAGTAAATGCACAGTGACTACACACCGATCTGTGACGCCCCACTACAGAGCTCCTTCGCGATGCCTCAGCGTGACCCGAAACTCTTCGTATGAACGGCGGAAACCCACGTCAGAACCGAAAGGAATGCTGTTCAGAACCAAAATGCCTTCATTTAAGAAATCATAGAAAAATAAATAATGTACCACTTAAAATACTGAGACAAAAATACACAAATATATGCACAAAAAAACCTCTTGAAATTGTTACACACATGAAACTCCAACAATAAAGAAACTGCTCGTGTAAGTTCTCGCCACTGTTAGAGCGCATCAACTGCTGTTGACCTGCTTATCAGGTAGCACCGTAAGAACCTACACTGATGTGCATCCATTCTTTTAAAATGGTGAGATGAGCTGTACGTCACACAGAAACCACGTGGGTGGAAATCCTTTCGGATCCACTGGCGGCTCCTGCTGCATCACAACAGGTTTGTTTTACTTTGTTTCACATCGGCTCTGACAGCAAACGATTCTAATGTTGAAGAAAACCCTACACAGCACCTACTATGTCAAAAGGCAAGATAAAGATAGGGAACGTGAAAGGATGTATAAGCCATGGTGAAAAATAAACCTACTGCTCCATTCACTTTTTTTGATTTGCTCCATCTGATGAGGAATGTGATGTTAACCGGCCACCAGTTAGACTGCGGTGAACTAATGGAAGGAGACCAGTTTGCGGTAAATGCCAAATTTAGCTTTTCTTGCATTGTAACACTTTTTCAACATATTTAAGACAATGTGAGGTGGAAGAGAGCAGTGTGGCAGGCTAGATTCAACACAATCTGCCTTCATCTGAAATACTGTGTGTGTTCGGCTAAATCTCACTGAAGACCACTAAACAAAGCTCTGCACTTCCTCAAACTGATGCCTGTTTTCAGTATTTAAGAAATCCGTATGTAATAAACTGTGAACATGCAGCAAACTGACAACACTGTACAAATAATATCCCGTACAAGTCCAAAATGAGAAAGTAGCATATCTGCAGACAATGCTCGGATGTGCTTTGTACAAATATTGAGCTTCTTTAAAACCGTGACTCCGATCAGTGGCTGTACAACTAAGATGAATGCAATCTCAATGTATGCTCAGGTGAAGCTCGAAGCTACATGCGGTTTCAACATCCTGTAAAAACATATACATGAAAAACAGTGCGGCTTTTCAATCCTCCCACAGCTTACAACGCTTTCCCTTCTGGAAAACAAAAAAACAAAAGAAAATAGAAAACAAACGTCATCGTAATTATTCAAAATGTGATACAAAGTTGTACATTTCTGATAAAGGAATGAATAAAAGCTTGAGGCACCAAAGGCTATTATACATAAAATACAAACAATGTGTAAAAATGAGAGAGGGGCAGTGAAAAACCAACAAACGAAAGAGATAAAAATAGTAAAGAAACAAACGTGATCAATCGCGTTCTGTCAACGCTCTCGGTAAACCACGCGTTTGCCCGCCAGGAGAGGGAGACGCTCCTGCTGATCTTGGCGTAAGATCCGCGAGACTCCTGGAGGCTCTCCTGCAGAGTCCGTTCCCGCGCTGGGAGACGGTTCCCGAGCACGCCCGTCCAAACTCAAATCCGTGTGAGGCTGATTCATTTCCCTGTCAGTGCAGCGAGCTTGCCAAGTTTACCTCCCCCCAATACCCACCCACCCCATACCCCTCCCCTCTTGTCCGGAGACCTGTTTGGAGGCACCGCACTGACGCCGAGTGAGCCTCACGAGTGCAACAGTGATAAACCTGCTGATACGGTACCCTCTGCAGGCATCACCACAATAAAGCAACAATAACCAACAGCTTTACTTTCTGGGGGGACATTCAGGCTACCAGCCATGGCGTGACTCCCTTGGGAAGATTAAAGGAAAGCAAAAAAAAAGATTACTTATTCAGAACTCTAGAGGCTTTTCTTTTTTTTTTGTTAGTGTTGTTTTTTCTGCAGAAGCCATGACGCAACCACAAAACAGTGACATGTATGTACAATACATATAAATATAGTTTCAGTACACTACTCATGCTTTTTCAGGAGTGGGGAGGGCAGGGGTGCAATGTTCTGCTTGGCACAGTCCTTTTTTTTTTCTTTTAGTCTTTGAGTGAATGGTGCTGCATGAAAGTGTGGTGAGGTTGTTGAGACGAAGCAACACAGAAACACCTAGCGTTTTGGTGTTAGGGAGCCAGTCCAGATCCCACCTCATCCACTTCCTCCTCCTCCCACGCCTCCTTTCACCACCCCCCGTGAATCTGGCCGGGCTGCGACGCTCCAGTCTGAGCCATGCAAAGACTAAAGAGACAAGTTCTGCCACCAGCCGAGGATCTGAGCTCCACCACGGCGTGGATGTGAAAGAGCGGACGCGCGTGGTTTTTGTTTTTTTTGTTGTTGTTGTTTTTTCCACACGGCGATGTGAGTAGAAGCAGCAAAGAGCATGAAACTTGCAGCGGGGTCGGACAGTGGGGTTGGGGGGGAGGACAGTTATCTCTTTTTGTAGCATTGTACACACAGACTTCTTTTCTTTTAGACTTGTTTTCCCATTAAAAAACTATAAATACCGTAAAAGAAGCATTATTTACAAACTCCATGCGTTTCAGGTTAGAGTGATCACTGCAAGGAAAGCACAACAACAGAGAGAGCGACGTGAGGATGGGTGTTTTCACATCGGTTCATGAGTCGTACGCTGTGGTTTTCACACAGATGCAATACACTGCTACGACTAACGAGTCACAATAAATGAAACATAACATGCAAACACAGAAGCTGAAACCCACATGAAATAAATACAAACTAACACTGGGTGAGCAAAATATTAGTATCATACTGGGAACAGATTTCGCACTAATAGATAAATCAATAAAAATAATAATTACAATTTCAGTGTTTATAATAAAATTTTACTCAATTATGTTCTCGTCTTACCTTCTGCCAGCACCCAGGCATTGGTAAACCATCAGGGCCCTGTTTAAAGAAGAGCAGCAGAAATAAAACAATGAGATCTGAAATAGCACGGACAGGTTCGCTGAGATGTGATAATGTGTCCGCCAATAAATGACAAAAGGTTATAAATAAGAGGCCTTTATGCCAGAGGTAAAGATTACAAATGGTATCCAGATGTTTTGGAACATCCAGTTAATGAGCACAAATCTAAAAGTGTGACACAATAACATTCTCCTACTTCATCAAGTCATCCACGTAATTACACTTGTTCTCTCTTTCCACCCTAAGGATGTGCAACCTGCATGCAGCTAAGTGCTGTGTATATATACTATTAGGTCCATGAGTTTCTGGATAGTGTAGTTTTGCCTCTGTGCACCACTACAGTCGGTTTTAAATCAAACGAAGTAGCCAATATGCGACTGAAGAGCAAAACTTCAGCTTTAATTCAACAGCCCCCCATTTTCAGAGGCTCTAAAGTTACTGGACAAACTAACATAATTTTAATCCAAGTCTAGCCTGAAGTCTAGAACCTGTGGACAGAACCACATGCTGCATTTCCATTTCTGAAAAAGGATGAATAATATACTTTGGGTCATCATCTATTTGCATCGTCACCAGTAAGGCTGCAGAATTTGGCTGAATCTGAGCTGAGAGTATAGCCAAGTATACCTCAGAATTCATCCAGATACTATCCTCAGTCACATCATCACTCTGCACTAGTGACCCGTTCCACTGGTAGCCGTACATGACGATGCCACCTCCACCGTGTTTGACAGTGAACGTGGTATAGTTCAGATCAGGAGCTGTTTCTTTACTTTTCTCTTCCAATCATTCTGGTACATGTTCATCTTTGTTTCATCCATCTAAAGACTTTCTGCAGGACTGTGCTGGCTATTTAAGATGTTTTCTGTCAGAGTCTAATCTGCATTGCAACCCTCTGTATTTACACGAATGAAAGCGTCTCTTTGTTGTAGATTTTCACATCCATCTGCCTCCTTGAGAGTGCTTTTGATGTGGTTTGAAATAATTCTGTCTTCACGCCCTCCCAAAGATTTTGCTCTCTCTGATAGTTTTCCTTCACCTGCATCCGCATCACTCTAAAACCTCAGATCGAGAGTTCCATCGAACAGCTGTCCAGTTACTTTTGAGCCTCTAAATATGGGGGGCATATAAAAATGACTGTAATACCTACTGTGGTGGTGTATAATCATTTTGGTGAATTTGACACAACTGTGACTAGTTTAGAGACGGTAATGCAAGTTGCACAACTTCAACCGAGTTATCAAAGTCAGCAACACTACAGACACTACTGCACTTCCCTGGTGCTTGGAATAATGAATAGAATCATGAACTGTGCAGCGCTTTTCTTTGCTTTCTTTTTAAATGCAACACTGGCTATTATGATAACATATTCTAAATTATTACATGCAACGGCAACCTCAAGAGAGTATATTCAATCATGCATGTAATACACAGCAAAATGTTTCAGGATTTATCTTATTATATGTGCTGCTGTATTTTAGAACATGATGTGGGCACACTATAAAGAAAATCAAGCAAGTGTGATAAAAATAAATAAAATGAATGCAGCTGGTTTAAGTAAATTAATGCAGATGTAATGTAAAAAGATGATTTTTGTGACATTTTCAATGCTTTCTTACTCGATCTGGTTCATTCCTATACACACACAGCACTATGGCATCTTAAAATGAACTCCTTGTATACTTTTAAGCACTTAAATTACCACCCATAGTGTTAAAATATCCATGCAACATACAACATTGTTTCAGAAACAAAAGCTTTGTAAACATATTTGAGAAAAAAGACAATTTTTCTACGAATAGGTCTTGAATTGAGTAGGTCTGAATTTGTAGCAGAGTAAACGATTTCTCGTCTTGTCACGGTCTGGCCCAATTGGTACAAAAGCAGAGAGGGGTTGGAAAGTTAACACAGTAAAGGAGGGATCCACGGGTAACTCATCAGTTAAGGAGTCTGTGTTAGCAACAGGTTAAAAGGGAAGTGGTTCATCGAGGAATCAGAAGGACGTAGGGAGTAAGCATAATGCTTTCTGCAGTTTTATTCAGAGGAATGAAAGGATTCAGTTAGAGGGACAGATTTATTTACTTTGTGTATTTTGTTTCTAACGGTGTGCCTAAAACAAGAAAAAGGCTGCTTGCGGTCAGGATGTTAGTGACGTATGTGCACGTGAATGTTGTTTTTCTAGCAATTGATAAAAATGATGACAAAAATGTAACTGTGATGAAAATAAGATGTGCTCATGCTCGTCAGGCTCTCGATTCATGCATGGTTTTGCTTCGGTAATGACTGAAGGTGAGCGGCATGCATGGGTAGGAGGTTTAGGAAGAAGAGAAATACTGTACCAATTGGCATGGGGCATCCAGCCCATCCAGACCTGGCTGCCCTGGTTCCCCCTTTTCACCCTTAAATCCCCGGAAACCCTGTTTGTAAAAATGACCTCGGAGTGTTACTGAGAGAGAGGTGGACGACCCTTACCCCCTGCATCAGTCCACTGCGACAGACACAAGGGGAGGGAGAGGGAGGAGCTGCCCTGTGAGCTTGAGAACCCAACCCAATGTTGTTGTTGTTCTGCATTTGAACAGTTGAATTATTAGGAAAGTAATATGCTTTAATATTTAGGTTATTTTGGTGGTATTCTGGTTCTCAGCACAGCCAAAGGGAGCTCCTTCCTTCCTCGTTTGGAGCGACCGCTCACAGTTGGGACATACCAATGGGCAGGGTGCATCTAATCCTGGGGCACCCTGTTCTCCTTTCTCGCCCTTAGGCCCTTTTTTGCCCTTCTTTCCCTTCTCCCCCTGTGGATACAACGGTTTGGTCAAGTTAAGAAGCATTTGTCAACAATAAGGACTGCTATTAGGAGGGATTAAATAAGGGAGGCTATGGCCCACAGAGAGGAACGACACATGGTCAGTGTTAGGAAGGAGGGGATACCAAACAATACCGGCTACTCTAAAAACATTCCTTAGGGCAGGAAGTAGACATAAAAAGGGAGGTAGTGAGGTGGGTAGGAGAAATTGGAAAAAACACTTCATAGCCAAAGGGATGTCAAGGGCACAAAGGATGAGAAAGTGTAGCAGGGAAAAAGTCCTCCAGAAAGACAGAATAAAATTTTACTACACACTGAAAAAGTCCAAACTGTATCCCTGTAGAACAAAATATTTTCACATACTCAAATCAACTGTGTTAGAAATATCAGATTTGAGAAAGTACAGCAACACTTAAAGGTTTGGGGTGATTTTCAAAGTAAAAGTGTGCATGTGTGGGTGTTTTAAAGCACATTGTTTCCATCTAATTTAAGATTTAATGAGAAATAAATGAAATAATTTATAATAAATGAATAGTTAATTAATTTTCAGTCAGATATGTCACAGACATCTCTTCTGTGTTTCAGTTCACATTCCCACTGTGTTACCTAATGCAAAGAGCAAAAACAGCCTCAAAAAAAGCTTTTTCTGCCCTTTGAAAGAGGGTTCATGTGATGTTTGCAGATGAGAGCGTGATCTATAATGAGAGCAGGTAAAAGAGTGCCTGTAGTGGTGGAAGTATGCTCTGGAGTGAAGAGGAATGAGAGTTAGTAAAAGCAAAACAGAATACGAGTAGGTGTAAGAAACAAGCAGGTGTAAGAGTGGAGATGCATGGTGACATCTCTTCTGTGAATGACTTTAAATACTTGGGGTCAACCATCGAAAGCAATGGACAATGCACAAGAGAGGTGAAGAAGATAATACAGGCAGGGTGGAGCGGGTGGAGATTATTGAAAGGGAAGGTTTACAAAATGGTTAGACTTGCTTTCATGTATGGTTTGGAGACAGTGTCAATGTGAAGGAGGTCATGCAGAGGGTCAGCGTGACAAACGAGAATGCTTCATTTAAGGTAAGATGAAGATGGCCACTAAAGACAGCAGCTGGAAGAAGATGGAGAAGTTAAAGTGTTCCTGTGATGGATTTCATAACATATGTGTACTACTCCCTTCACAGAACCCCTGAAAATGAATAATAAGAGACTAAGAGTTGGGAAGGCCTCAGTGAACTGCTGTACTTGGAGGAGAAGTACATCAGAATCTCTATTTTGAGAAACGGATGTCTCACGGGCAGCTTCGTGACACATTATTGTTTGAAGCCTATTTCAGCCTTTATTGCTCTTCAGCATGTGTTGCTTTAATCAGCACAACAGTTTTCAGCTATGCAAACATTATCAGTTAGATGAACCCTCATCAGGTAATACGATAGATTTGTTTGAAGTGGTTGAAAATGAGCCTGTGTAGAAATTCCATCAAACATAATAAATGATTTATAATGAAAAATACATATAAAATATGAATTTAAAGTCACCCCAAACTTTGAAGTGGTAACGTATGTTGAATTGAGTTCATGCAAGTTATTAGCACTCATAGCCACCACCCATAACTCATTAAAAGTGTAAGTACTTGATTATTGTGTATCATCCACACTTTGCCAGATTCTTATCAGACGCTACCTGTACAAATACACTAAAGAGGCGCAGCGCTACAATCTGTTGTGCGTTAGAAATTGGCGGTAAACACGACGATTCACAGAACACGCCACGGAGCAGCAAAGCGTCTTTATATAGGATACAGTTTCTTAAAGACATCTACCGAACAAATCATGCCTGTTAGTGGTGCAGAGACACACACAAGTAACACTGAAAGCTACAGACTACTGTAAACACAAGCAGGGAAAGGATTACCAACAGGCTCAGCAACTCAAGGTGAAATGCTTCAAGTTTATGTCCATGCGTGGAAACAACAGAAAATAAATAAGCATGAATTTTAAGAGCCTGTTGTCAATGGACTTGTTTGGGCTAATACATCAAAATCAGCTTTAAATGACTTAGAATGACACTGGATTTGATGAGATGGCAAATCACTCAAAAGTGGAGAACAAAAGCTGGTTTGAGAGGACTGGGGATGACACTTTAAGCAATGGAGGACTGCCGTTATAGGACGCTATTATCCAATTGGCTCTTGAGTCCATCTGTCGAGGAGGCACAACTGCTGTACAAAAGACTGAGCCCAAGCAAAACATGTTCACAGTATCTGTAAAGGAAGCTCATTAGGATAATAATGGCTAATGAAATTAGCAAATTAAAATGTACTGTAGTCAGCTACTGTGGTTTAATAATGTCAGTACTTCAGTTATTGATATTATAGCTCTAAAGCATCCTGTCACTGTCCATTGACATCAGCCTTCTATGTAGTTATTAATGAGCCGTTACAGTATATCTACATCTACCTTTTCTCCTCTTTCCCCAACGTCGCCTTTTTCTCCCCTTAAGCCTGGCAACCCCTGTAAAAGCACAACTCCACATTAAAATCTGACGCACGGGGGTCCCGACCAAGGTCGGCGTGTGATGAGCTGTGCTCGCCTTTGACACGCACAGACATAAGAGGCTTATCTTGCCCTTGCAACGCTAAAAGCAAGACATTTTCAATCAAACTTAAAACTGAAAGCTTTAAAACTTAAGACCAAAAGAAGAAGAAATAGCTGGGTGTAAAACAAAAAATGATATTTATGTAGTTAACTTCTAAATGAGATCTCTAAAGGGCTCCGTAACCAGACCAATTTACGCACAACAACGCTTACTGAATTGAACACACAGTGTATGAGAACTTATAGAAGATCAATCAGCCATCTTTCTATCATTCACTAATAAGATAATTAGCATCAGGCAAGGAGGAGTACTTATTATCCACAAAAAGCAGCACAAATGAACAAAAAGTGCCTGAAATGACTGATGCTATTATGGTATATCATGCTATCGACTTGTGATATGGAGATTTGCAAAATGTGGAACATATGAGGCAGATTTGATGAGGCGTTCCTCTGTTATACAAAGTATTTTTCAGGTATGGGTTGGCTTTCTTTCTGTATATCATTTGGTGCTTTACAACTCGTATTCAGGAACTGAATTATGGACATTTTAAATAATGCTGCATCAGATTCTGTGGAGTTACACTTTCTTCTTGTTTTGAGATTTAAAATATATATTTTAAAGCTTTTTCCTAAGTATTCCTCAACCAGAAGAAGCGGTTTGATTCCTGTTTTCATCACTAATTCTTTTTTCCTCAAACTTTCTTGTTAAAAACAGAACTAAAAGAAAGTCAAACAGACTCACATCCAAGCCTGGTGTTCCAGCAGCTCCCTGCAAATAGAGACATGAGCCGTATTATGATCAAAAATATGTATTTCACACTGTATCATTACATTTTTTTTTATTTTTTGTAACAAAAAATACAACGTAAATGTAGGCATTGAACTATTTCAAACTCACAGGTAGTCCATAGGGTCCTCTTGGCCCTGGCTCACCTGGTGCTCCTTTCTCACCCTAGTTTAAATACATCAGTGTTGTACTTACAATGGCAGGTAAAAGGTTAAATGAATTAGGACCAACCAATATATGAGATTTTTTAACACCAATATGGATATTTAGTGATTTACAATTCTGATAATCTGATAAATGAGACGATATTTTTCCTTTCAGACACAATATAGATTCCTGAATACTTTTTACAAGCAGTTATTTACGAGTCCTTTCTATGATAACATGACAGTAAAATTTATAATCTTGTTTTCCTGCCACTTGAAGTCATGGATTACTCATTTACACTCTGCTTGACTCTGATCAGTTGGTTAATGTAGCACTACTGTGCTAACAGGGGAATGGCAGAGTGCCCTCTGGTGGACAAACTATACCACAGCAACTCTCGCTGCTGAATAATCTCTTCTTTATTTATATAATTAATTTTAATTTATTGGCCATTATAAAAAGCGGATGCTATATTGACAAACATCTAATGTCGGTCAATAATCGGTCACTATATATCGGTCTGCCGTTAATGCAGAGTATCATCAGTAAGATAGAAGAAATGAAATGTTGATCTTACAATATCCCCCTTCGGCCCAGCTGGACCAGCAGGACCTGAAGGCCCATCCATGCCCTGCAGAAAACAGTGTTATCATGGTGAGTTTACAACCTTGGGTTAGAATAAGCACGTGTTTCAGAATAATTAAGGTTAATGCAAATGGTAGCAAAAGCCACATATAGCCTCCGCATATATATTTATACATGTATATATATAATACTCCTGGTATGACCTACAACCAGCACACAGAAGTGTAAGACGTGCATTGGCCACAAAGGACATTTACGCTGCTGACACAGTTAATGTATGAGTGTGTGTTAATGCTCCGTTAATGCAACACGGGACAAAACAAGAGCCTTGAAATGCCTGCTCTAACAGTGCTGCGTATGGTCTCAGTCCTCTGAGCTGAAGTGAGTGCGGACAGTCTTTTTTTCTGAGCTATAAAAATCGAAAAGAAAAGAAAAATGGAAACAAAACTGTCTTTTTTGGTAAAAATGATATAAACAGTATGAGGTGGCATGGCTGAACAAAAAGAAAAATAGGAGAATGAGGGGACTGTATGGAGGGGATACTGTCGAAGTAGATACTGTACGAGTTAGGTGCTGAAGCCTCTTGGTCACATGGCACTCACCCTAATTCCAGGCTTGCCGTCCAAGCCGGAGGCTCCCTGTGTGGTTATGGAGGTATGAGTGACATGAACAAGGCGGGATTAGTACCAGATGAACACTGTTATTAGGACAGGTTGATGGCAGGGTTTACAACAACTAAATTACACTGTGTGTTACAGGGCGCTCGGCAAAGTAGTCAGCCCAGGCAAATGAAAATGAGCACAGAAAATGGATTATAGATGCACACACTTACACACGCACGCACACACGCACGCGCACTTACATATACAAACACACACATACAAATGTGTGTACTAATGCACAACACAATACAAATGAGGGATCTCTATGGTGTAAAGAAATAAAGAAATAAAGGGCAGGACTGGCTGAAGACACCCTGTGGTGTGTGGTTTCACTTACAGGGAGACCCAGAGGTCCACGGTCCCCTTTGTGTCCTGGTTCTCCTCGAGTACCCTTTGCCCCATGCAAACCAGGTTCACCCTGAGAAAGAAAGAGAAGCAGGAGATGCTTTTGTTTTACGTTTCAGGCTCACTAAATATTTATAATAACTACTTATAAGATGACCTAACTTTGGCTTAATATTGTACACGTGAAGGAATTTCATGTTCACTTTGTTGATATTTACCTTTGGTCCAGGAAAGCCATGGGGACCCTGAAAAACATTTAAAAAGCGTCTAACATTAGTTTACAAGTACCTGGTTCGATTATTTTGATTATATTTCATTTGTCTATCCCCACATTTCTTTTCTATGTTCTGCTTGTGGCCCGAACCGTTGCACATAAATTGTTGTGAAAGCTGCGTTGAAGGGATGGACGAAAAGTAGAACAAGCGCAGCACCGTGAAATTGCTCACAGCGAAAAACTGACGAGGGCTCCCTGTGTTTTATTTTTACTCTGTTCCTTGGTGACTTCATACAAGCAAACACCGCTGTGGGATTAAAGAGGAGTTAAGCTGGACTGGGCCGCAGACAGATGGGAAATGTAATTAGTGACTGACAGTCTATATATGTAAGGTGAAGGAAATGCTAGCGTGGCTCCAAATACCCACTTCTTCTTAAAATATTGAGATTTTTTTTAATTAAAGGAACCTGTAGACTTTTAACCTGCTGCTGGACACTGTGTGAGGTGTTGTCTTTTCGTTCGTTATGAGTTGTCATGTAACATGTCATTAGGGTTATTAGCATATGCTGTGTGTCTAATACACGTGTAGTTTGTGTCCACTAATGAAAAAGGGGGTTTTCAGGGCAGCACACTGACCATAGGTCCTGGGGATCCATGGGGCCCTGGTGGCCCTGGAGGGCCAATTATCTGAAAACATTAGGAGAGAAATGATATAATAAAAGTGTGAGTCAACAAGTTTATTACATTTCACAATAAAAGCGTGACATATAGGGCAGATAAAAAAACAGAGTGAGAGCAAAAATAGCGCTACAAGGTGTGTGTGATTTACAAAAGTGGAACTATTTTCGAAACACAGGTGCAATTATTTCATTTGAGTATCAAGTGCAAAATATAAGACATGCTTTTAGCAGCAAATCAGTAAATCAGGTTGCACACTTTATTTGATTATTTTCTTCCTGATATTTTGCACCTTGAGGAAAGGAACTCCCAGAAATGCGTATGGAACTGGGTCAGCTGTAGAAATCTGAGTGTCCACCTCTTACATCAGTCTTGCCACTGCACTCTCTTTGTAAATATTGTTGTTACTATATTTTGTTCTAACTTACAGAAGGACCTTGAGGACCTGTGAGTCCTGCATCTCCTTTATCCCCTTTCATTCCATTGACACCCTAGAGGAACAAAAGTTTCATGAGATCCACGTTGTGTCTGCCGAATGTCAGGCTGAGTAGGTAAAAGTTTCAGAGGCATTTATCAGAATGGGAGAGTATTCTTACAGGTAAGCCAGGTAAACCAGTTGTTCCTTTCTCCCCTGAAGCTCCGGGCATCCCCATGTCTCCTTTAGAGCCTTTGTATCCCTAAGAGGGGGTAGAAAGTTACCCAAAGAGGTCAAAATGATTAATTTCTATTTTCACTGTAGCTATTAATTGAGAATGGGTTTTGTACTGGCTACAAAAAACTGTCTGTTCCCCTGATATTCTCTAACAGACACTGTCCTGTCTGTGGTGGATTGTCATATTAGACATTTCAAATAATGAGGTCAACAAATATGCAGGTAATCCTTCTTGTTTCTTGTTTATACGGTTCAGTTGCTTCTGTTGATTTTCAGTTCTGTTTCCCTGTATAGGTTACTCCCAGTTCTGTGTCTTCCCCACTATGTTGGTTGTAGTGTCGTGTCTTCAGTGTGGGAGACTGTCGTGTCCCCTGTGCTTAAGTCTCCCTCGCCCTTTGTGTCTCAGAGATGTCTTTGCCTCCGTGTCGCTCCCTCTCTATCCCTCTGTCTTATCTCCTTCTCTGGCTTACATGTTTCCCCTTGTGTCTCGTTCCATGTCTTCCCCATCTGTCATGTGTTCTCCCCAGCCGTCACCGTCTCTGTATTTGTTTCTTAGTATGTCCCTGTCCCATCTCCCGTTTCTATTTCCCTAACGTGTCTTAAGTCTGCGTCTCTAAGACTCCTGTTTTATTTTGAAAGTCTTGTGTTCCGTGTTTAATGTGTTTATTTTTGCTTCCTCTGTGGCGTCATGTTCATTTGTATCTGCTGTGTTTCCACTTCCCTCGTCACCCTCATGTGCATTTATGTGATCTGTTGTCATGCATTCACTGTCAGGTTGTCTGTGTTTCACGCCATGTTTCCATGTATCCAGGCCAGGTTTCATGTTAGGGGTTTTTCACGTTTAGCTTTCCCAGTTTAGGTTATTGTTTAGCTTCGTCTTGTTTCACCTTTTCCCCTTTGTTTTGTAGTTTGCAACCAGACATAAAAAATGGCTCGATTTTTGTTAAGAACCCCGTTTTGCCTTTGTTTGTCTACACTTAGGTCGTCTACTCTCGACTCCACATGTTAAGGTTAACCAAAGTAAATATATATATGCATGTATAAGATCAACTTACTCTTTCTCCATCAAGTCCAGGAAGACCAGGCAGACCGCGATCCCCCTGATATGACATTTTTATGACCACAAATTAAACTAAATTAGCTATCAAGTTACATAATGTGACTTGTAAAAGTCACCACTTGACATCATAATCAAACACACAACTACACCTACACACACACATAAGAAATTTACCTTTATGCCTGGTGGTCCCGTTGGCCCAGGAGGCCCAGGGGGACCCTGGACAGAAAGAGAGACAGATTTCTCTTCAACATGTGCGCACAAGTGTGAATACATCACAGCTGTAGTGAAACCTACGAAACAATGCTGTGAATTACGTTTTAATTAACACTGGCACTGGCCATAACACTGAAAAATTACGTTAGGAATCAGGTATTAACCATGAACAGGACGCTCAACACATGCAGAGGTCACAACAGTGAGAACATGTATGACAGAATTACACACTTTGATGTTAGGATGTGAGGGCTGCATGACTTCGACAGCTGAACCATAAATTCTGCCATTCTGACACCGATTTAGGGTGAAATGGAAAATCTGCATTTTTCTGCTCTGGGGTTTGTAGTTCTTAGTGAAAAAAAAGGCTACACATCCGTATGCTTATTTTAGATGTAGACATGTTGGAAGGTGGAATAAACTATTGCTGACTCAAACCACAGCCTTTGGGATTCTTGACTGCTATACGTGATGCGATTTTGACAAGAAGCGGACTGAATGAGTTTGGAAAACCCTCTTAATGCTGTTTAATAGACATTCAAGGACACAACCAGCAGCTCAGGCAGCATGTAAGGTCGATCACAGAGAAGCACAATCGCAGCACTGAATACAGTTTTATTCACTGTCAAGCAAAAACGTTGCTGGGTGAGGGAGGACAAGTACAACAGGGCAGCGCAAACGGGTGTTGGAACCGGGTCGGGCCCATGCTCGGACATAGATGGATCACACTTTGGAGATGAAACGATACACAGAATACACAGAGCCTATTTACCGTAACTGTAATAGTGGTAATCTTCTGCAGTAGGCCACAGGAGTGGAAGTGGGGAAGAGGTGAGAGATAAGATTGTAGAGGTCACATGAAAAAAAAACCTTTGTGTCAGCACATTTCTGCACAGGAACACCCTCAGCGTCTATAGAGCTCAACCTAAGCAGCTTCAAATGAAGGCATTGCACTGGATTACATTTCTATACATGTTTATATTTTTTCCTTTTTAGTCATTATGTTATGCAGGCAAATAATTCACTTTCACCTACTTTAGCTCCACTTTTAATCTGGCAAGTAAGCAGTGAGGAAGGTGAACCATTCATAGGTAGGTACACGCATCAAAAATAAAAAGGAATCACTTTCCCCTCGTCTTTTACGTCTAAGGAACCGACCTGTAAAGCTTCCTGAATGTTTCCGTTGTAGTCGATGATTTCGGTGGCACCTTGTTCTCCTTTCTGCCCAGGTGGGCCCTGCACATGTCCAACACCATTAAACACATTTTTATTTCACACATGATTATATCATATCAAAGAATTACAAGCTCAATAGAGTGCCTCCCTTTCAGAAATCGGCCTAGGCTTAACTACTGCCCCCTGGTGGTGATAACAAACCAACACTCAAACGGAGCTGTCACTCTGATGTGCTCATCCTAATCACATCCTAGAACTGAAGTGTTGTATTAGAAATTAAAAGGTTTAGCGTATCAGCACACAGCATCCTTAATTATCTTTAATATGCTTGCTTACCCTTGGTCCAATGAGCCCCAAGTCTCCTTTATCTCCACCCTCGCCCTAATATGAAAGACAAACAACAAATATTGAACTCAAGGCACACTGCCGTCACGCCTTCAGCCACACACGTTACATTTTTATAGATGCTGAGGCCTTTTAGTATTTACAGCTTGCATTTGACAGAATGAAAGAACAACGTTGATGAAATAATATCTATGTTATTTACAGCTTCAAAAACTGCGATAAAAGCTTGAATAAATTAATTATAAATGAGAATAAATTAAAATCTGAAGTTCAGCTTTTCGCCCTTATGAAGGAGTTTAAAGTCTTGGTGGAGTTTAAATTTGTGTGTGCGACCGATTTATGTGAGTTCGTTTAAATGTTGTTAATTTAATCTGATGTGTGTTGCATTCAACTCAAAGACTCCTCCAACATTTATTAAAACCTGTAAATCTGATTGTTTTTATAAACAACACGCTTAACAAGGATCATTAAGTTCTTAGTGTTTTCACATTTTTACCAGCTCAGGACAAAAAAAACAAACCAAGATCACTGGAAAATAGCTGGTTCTTTTACCCAGGATCAACTAATTCCCATGCAGTGTAGAGAAAACAAATCTGCTGTACTGACCTTTGACCCTTTAGGGCCAGGTGTACCAGCCTCTCCTTGTGAACCCTGCCACGTTTAAAAAAAACACACAGGTGAAGAGGTTACTAACGCTTAGTACTTCAGACATGCACATAAAGTTGAAGAATATAAAACAAACCCTTTTTAAAAACTTTTTATGGGTTTAAAGAAAATTACGCATTTCTAAAAACACATTTCCTGAAGGAAACATTATCATCCTCTCTGACTCCTCCTGTGAGAGCTACGCAGCGAGCTCCACTAAAATAACCAGGTTTTAATACGCTGCAACCGCCAAGAAGTGGAGAACGTGTTTATTTGAACTGTGTCGCTGACAGAGGATGAGTTTCACTTCTGGGGCATGTAATAGGATGTGAACCAGATCTCTGTGTCGTCTAAGTTTAGACTGGAGATTAAGCTACCTGCAGGGGCAGCACCAGACATAAACAAAGGCAACCTCATTTACACTGGGTTTACTTTACACGCACTCCAGGGAAAGCCACGGACCTATCACAGACTATAATGTTTTAGCCAGGTTTAACAAAAAGAGAACATGAAGTCTTGATTAAGCGTCGCCTTATCTGATTTATGACTTGGAGAACTTTGCCGTGTGTGTTTGGATCAAAGAGGCTCTAGATGGCAGCAAAGCAACAGCTGAAAAGCTCCAAAGACTCCTCGCTTCAGCGACTTATTTCTTTAATAATTCATACCGTACGCACAGGCATGAATGCACACTTATGCCCTTCACTTGCTGACCTTTGGTCCAGCGGGTCCCGTCTCTCCTCGTTCCCCCTTCCCTGGTGGTCCGTGGTCACCTTTCTCACCCTATGCAAAGAGAAGGAGAAGGAGAGGTGAGTTACTATTGTTCTCCTGCAAAAAAAAAACAAGGTGTCATGCAGAACTGCTGATCAAAGCTGAGTTCCCTCTTTAATGTCAGCACAAGGCCCGCGGTGCATCTTCTGAACATGAGGCGCGCCTTCGGTTCCCCTCATGTCATACATATTCAGCATGACTCCTCAGCCTTTTCACGAGCTCGCTTACTCAACATATTCAAACGGCGAAATGTAAATACTGATGCCGAGTCAGCACGAGGCAGACATGAGATGTGACAGGGCCGAGGAAATCGACAACAAAGAAGTGAAACCCTTTTCCTTAAAGTCGATGATTTAAATGCACGTTCTTAATTTTGAATTTTGATTTGACTGAAAACAGCCAACAGAGGGAGACGTGGTAAAACTCGAGCTTCACAGTGTCTAATACTGATATTTAAAAACCGAGCGGGACGCAGTTATTGTCCAGCAGCATCGATTCAGTAAGGATTTAATAATAAACGATTACTGATATGTTATTATGTGTAGTGTGCCTTGAAAACAAAAAAAGCAAGTAAAACGCTGATTGTCTCAAATGGAATAAACATTAAGCCAAATTGTTTTTCTACAAAGCCAATTTTTTAGCTTCTCTCTGCCTGACATTTGATTAAGCAGCAGAAATATGCCAGAGGACAGCGAAACGCTAATATATCTCAGTTATCTGCGCACTGCAAACAGCCCGATGCAAAAGGACATGAGCACGAGCAATAATTCTTGCATGTCTGGATTATCACCGCTGGCTCCGCAGTGTGATAATGTCAGGACTCAAAGGTAGCGGCAGAGGATTATCTCATTCTGACCACTTCCAGGTGACATTTTGAAGCAACAGAGGTTTAATCACCTTGAGGGGAAAGCGATAATGAAGGGTAATGAGAACAGAAACTCAAAGGAATTCGCGATTTCACCGACGATCGGGCTGATAGGATGTGATAACCATCAGTCAAAGTGTTTGCGTCTCATCATTACCAGCTCGTAATATTCAGCGTGTCACTCGGAGCAGAAAATACCTCCCACGCTGTGATAAACAACATCACAGTGACGAGCTGAAATCACCCACCTTAGTTCCTGGGAGTCCTGGAAGCCCAGGCTCACCCTGGGGACCGAGAAACCCGGGCTCACCCTGCGCAAAAAAAAACAAAAACAAAAACACAACCACGAGCAGCTATTATTAATTTTTCCACTGGGCGTCTCTCATGTAGCGCTGCTAATGAGCACTAAACACACACACACAAGATGCATGAGCAAACACATTTATAATGACAGGCATGCACTTACAGCCCGCACACTTGCACGCGCACACAAGCGCGCACTCATGCATAAATCACACTCACAGACACACATTATCAGTGGCTGGTTAATTTATCCCCTGGTTCCTCATATATTAACGAGTCTCTCCCTCTTATGAATCCTAATAGACGTTACGACCGACCTTGTTAGAAACTCATCGGGGCACGCAGAAGCGTTCTGATTAAGAGGGTCTGCGCCGCTCACGGAGACGCTTCCAATTTTCCTGCATTTGCACTTTCACGTATGAGGAGCGAGGGTCCAGCATGAAGTGCGACACTGGGTTTGATTTACATTACATTTGATTGGGAAATTACTTAACCGGAATGTATTATTACACCATCTGCAACCTAGAGAACATTAGGCACTCTGGAAGCCCTCAGAGAGGCAATGGACATTTGGCTTTCAAACCTTTAAACTTTGATTGGATAAACAGCAAAGAATGCAGAGAGCAGAACAAAGTGCAAGGCCGAGTGCTACGTTAGCAAAAAAATATTGTTAGAATCCATCAAGCATACAGGCCTCTTAAGTCAAAACAGGAGTATATAAAGTGTAAAATGAAAGGGCCTTTTTTTTAACAAGCCCAGCACGTTCCAAGCATATGAAAAGAAAAGAACAAAACAGGCATAACAAGCACCATCATCTCCATGTCCGTGTGAGCATTCCTTACATTCAACAGTTATATTTTAAGCTTAATGGTCCACAAGTGCATTGATTTTCTTTAACATGCGCCATTTGTGCTTTTCGATTCGCCATCTGCTCTTGATACGGGGAAAACAGTAGCTTTAAAAAACCCGGAATAATCAAATAAAAGTTAAACTTCCTCTTTTTAACGAGCAGCACTTTTGACACATTGAGCCTCCTGATTGCCACCGTCAGGAAGTCGACTGAAATGTCTGCCTGCTAAGCAGCATTCGATCATTAATTCATGGACCTCCGTGTTATTCACGAATCCTAATGAGACAGTTTTCCTGCTGAACGCTGGCATCTTTAGATCAAAAGCTCAGACTGTTTGGTTTTGTCATTTCGCCTAAACTCCTCACTTTCGCTTCGCAGCAGCTACCGCGCTGCTAAGCTGAAGCGCGAATCCCCACAAAGCAGGAGAAGCGAGATTGGACCACGACGTGCCATGTATGAGGCATGACAGCAGGCCAGAGGTGTACTCTACCACAGATGGACTGAAGCTGACGGACAGGGACAACACTGATGGGAGGGTGGTTGAAAACACGAAGCATTTACCTTTATCCCTGGTAGTCCAGGCAGCCCTGGAAGTCCTGGCTCTCCCTACACAAGAAGAGTGTGACATGTTACAGCCAAGCCAAGCTAAGCTGAGTCAAGCCTCATTTGGGTTTGAAAAGCTCTGTGCTTTATTTTCTATTTGTGTTTTCCTCTGTCTATCAAGCTGTCGTGGTTCTGAAAAGCTGCCCGCTGTCCAGAAATTGTATTTTCACCGTCATTCGCTTGTGGTAAGCATCAGCAGAAGGTACTTGCACATGCACTTTCAGACCAACTCATGCAGCCGTGGCTCGACAGCGCGATTAGTACTTGTTATAAAACTCAACCCTTCAAAAAGTGCAACTGAGTTTCATTTTTAGGATTTTATTGGTTTGGGCAGGTGTGAAGTGTTCGGGGTTTCTGGAAGGAAAAAGCGTCTGATACTTTGGGTTAAAGTTGCAAAAGCTGTTTGCGAAAGCTGCCACGGCTTCAAGGTCCTCCGAGTTTGGCAGCGTAGGAAGAGTTGGCGTATTTTTCTATTATCAAGGTCGGGTGATTGTCAAGCTGAGAACGCAGTCATTTGATTCGACTGTGGAAAACTCAAGAGGTCAGGCGCCCCCCCCCCAATCCTCCGATGAGAATACTTTGAGACTTTCAAAATAAAAATTTCTGACTTAACGGGAAAACTATGACCACTGGATTTATGGCATATGAAAAGAAATGATTAGCGCCGCTCAAGAATAATGAATCGTAATGGCACTCGGGGGATCAGAGAGGAGGCTGTAAACTGCGATTGCTGCTAATGAAAGCATTATAAAAAATTAAGTCCTTCTTGTTGACAGCTGAATAAATGAGTGCCACCCAATGGTGATGTTAAATGGGAAACAACAACTCAATCTTGTGACATTATTATGTGAAAAAACCCCAATTTTTAAGTGTGTCAGCACAAGCAGGATGTAAAACGAACAATATGATTAAGCATTAAAAGTTAGTTAGGCCACAATTTTGTTTGGCGGCAAAGCAGGAAATAAGAGGCACTTGCTAAAAAAAACAACATTTCTGTCGCCTGGAACTAATTTGTACAAACAGATAAAAGAGACTGAGAGTGTAATTTACATGAGGCATTGGTGCAATGTCAGCAGAAGTCTGGTCAAAGGCCGGACAATGGCTCAGTTTTCTTCTTCGGCGTGACTGTTTATTAGTTTCTCAACAAAAGCTGTTTCTTCAGCAACATTCTCCTGGCTGCCATTGTTGCCTCGGAAAGTATGTCAAACACTACAACAAACAACGGCCGGGAACAGAGGTCGTAGCGGCGAATATCGCTTAAACAATAAAAGTGAAGCAGCAGAATAGGGTGACCTTGTGGTTGGAGCTAAGGGAAATGCACGCAGAAACATGGAAACAAGAACAAGGAGCCAAAAAAAGAGAAAAATCCAGAAGAATTAGTATATCCAGAGGTGTTAGTATGAAACTGGAGACCCTACACTGGCTCTAAACAACAATCAAGCTGAATTAAAGTGAACTGAAGGGCTGTGATGTACTGAAGGTCAACTTGCATTCTTAATGCCATTTAAACAGTAACGTTGGGCTGAGTTTTGAATGAGCATGTCCATATTTGAGCTTTTCTAATTTGCAAAAGTTTCGATGTGTACAGGCACAATGATGAAAAAGAAATAGACTTTCATATACACTCAGGTTTCCTAAAACTATTCACTGGTCGAGTTATGTTTTGAGTAAAATATGTCGGTATATTTAACACCATACTACTGTGACTGTTGCATGCAATTATGTCCTACTTCCTTTATGCTGTGTATCAAAAAGCCATGAGGTGTAGCAAAGTGTAGTCGTTACCTTTAGTCCACTTCTTCCAGGCTCTCCAGGTTCACCCTGTAATACATGTAAAGAGTTTTCTATTTAACCGGTGTGACCGATTTCAAAATACCACCAACTATGTGTACTTCTGTTCTGCATGTATTAACAGAAAGTCCTTTATAAGGTCTTAATCTTAGTAGTTAGTTTCAATTGGTAACAAAAAAGACCCCTGATCCAAGTACGTATAGCTATCTGAATCTTATTTTCTTTCATGTTGACTACACTGACCTATTCCTGTTCATAGAGTAACACTGTAGCTCATTATTGTGTTATTGCTTTACTAATGGAAATCCATTTTTTCCTTATTGAATCCAATTAAAATGAATGAAAGTAGCACAGGCTAGCATTCGTCTGGTAAGTAAACTATACTTAAAAAATTTAACAGAATCTCAGTGAGAAGGGCGTTGGTTTAGCTCACTGTGTTGAGCGGGTGCCCACATGCCCTTTGGCTCAGAGCAGCCAACCCGCAGTTTCCCCGTCTCTCTCTCGCCTTTTGCATTCCTGTCAGTTCTTCAATCTGAGAAAATCTAATTTTCTCATTGAAACAAACATAATGTCCCAGAGATGTTCTGTTTGATTTAGCTGAGGTGAGTGTGGGAGCCAGTGAAGTCCTTCATCTTCCAGGAACTGCCTGTGAAATCTCACCACTTGAGGCTGGCATTGTTGTGCACTGGGAGGAACCCGGGACCACCTGCACCAGCACTGGTTCAGAAAATCGAACCAAGGGATTTCTTCCTGATACCTAATGATGCCTAGGATACCTAATGAAGGCCAGAGTGTTGTTGGCTAGCCTGCAGAGCTCTGTATGCCTCTCCATTGATATGCCTCCTCAGACCATCACTGATCCACCACTAAACCTGTCATGCTGAACGATGTTTCAGGCACTACTAGAGGACGTCGGGCCTTCAGGCCAGCCTCATGAAGGCTGTTTCTGATTGTTTGGTCAGAGACATTTACACCAGTGGTCTGCTGGAGGTCATTTTGTAGGTCTGGCAGTCCTTATATAGTGCTAATCCTGTTCCTCCTTGTACAAAGGAGGAGATACTGATCCTGATAATGGTAAACCCATTATCAGGACCATTTACAGCCCCATCCTGCTCTCCTAGACTAACTGCCTGTCTCCTGGAATCTCCTCCATGCTCTTGATATGGTGCTGGGAGACACAGCAAACTTTCTGCCAGTGGCACATCACAATGTGCCATCCTGGAGGAACTGGACTATCTGTGTAACGTCTGTAGGGTCCAGGTATCACCTCAGGCTACCAGCAGCGATACTGACACAAAATGCAAAACTAAAACAGTCAGAAAACTGTCAGTGGCCTCTATCTGTAAAACCTGTTTCCTGTTTCGGGGGTTGTCTCGTTGAGCCCCTGTAGTGCACCTGTTGTTAATGTCATTAACACCAAAGCAGCTGAAACTGATTAACAACCCCCTCTGTTACTTAACGGACCAGATCAGTATCCAACAAGTTAAACTCACTTGATGCTTTACTGCTTTTTTTTAGCGTAGTTTAGTTAACACTAGCTAATAAACTAGCACTCCAGCCAGTTATGCTAATATATTGAGTTCAGAAGCCAAAAAGCCAGGCTGGTAAAGGCTAAAATGCCAGATGTTAATGCTCCAAAGGATAGTTAACAAACCAAGGAGCATCTGTCCTTTTTCTGCTGTCTACAGTCAACCCTATTTAAAAAATACCTGTAGATGCACACACAGTCACAACTTGGACCTTAATGAATTACATTTTTCCATTTAAAAATCTTAAATCAAGGACAAAATGACAGTGGCTTTAGCTTAGCTCTCACCTTGATGCCTGCTGCAGAGGAGCCTGCATCTCCCTAAGAAAGAGTCACAGAAGAAAAGTCAGAAAGACACAAAAGGCAAAACAAAAAGTGACAGAGACTGTTAAAATAGTCTGTGAGGAGTCAACATTATTGTGCAATTACATTTACAAAATGCTGACTTATAGAAAAGAAACCCATTTACCGAACAATGCGGAGCATAATTTCACAACTGCTGCATTTGACTGGATAAAACTGGGTGAAAACACAATTTGAAGAGCAGCTTGTTTGCTATTCTAAACAGAGAATGTACCTTTTCACAAAAGCTGGAGACAGCATTTTTATGACTACGGTGCTGGGAATCGTTTCAGTTTTACCCCGCAGCTGGGCAGGGGTGATGACATGCAGGGTGAAATCTAACACTATATACAATAAGAAGAAACCCACAGCAGTATAGGAGGTGAAGGTGTTTAAGGAGGCACACTAACAGGAACCACTGAAAGCTTTGTTCATCGCTTCTCCTTAGATATGGCACGGAACTAGAAGGAGACAGAGCTACTTATATCACATTTTTCCAGCAAAGCTGTCCAGACACCAAGAACCCAGACCCTGTTTTTCTATGCACTGCATCACTACTGCAGTGTACAGTAAAAACAGACATAAAACAAGGGGCCAATAAGTCTAATTACGGGTGGTTGGTGGGAAAAAGGAGTGGGGAGGAGGAGGCTGGGTCTTTAGCTCTGGTGTGGACTCTGTGGTTTCACTACACATACGCCTCGCGCTCAGAAGTTGCTGAAGGAATGCCTCTCGCCCTCAGCTTTTTATGGGAGTCATTATGATGCATAGCACACAAGGCAATGTTTAATTGTGGCTCTTTTTTTTTGCACACAATAAACCGCGTTACTGTTTACAGCTGGGTTTCGCTGCATACTCAGGGGTGCTTCTATCCCAATCTTAAAAATTCATCATTCCACGTTTTAATATATATAAATGGACATTTTCACAAGTTCTTTTATATTTTATTGGGGTACAAGATCTAAATGGATGAAGTTTTACAGCTCACTACAAAAAATACAGAAAAAAAGCTTTTAAATCATTTTACACAATTAAATAGAAATATTTCTGGCCAAATACTTAGGAGACAACATGGATTTATTTCATCTTAAAACATATATAAATATATATATACTAAAGAAGGAGACAGGGACCCATTTTCCTGACTTTCTTGTGTCTTCACACCTGCTGCTTTCGGCAGGGGTAAAGGTGTCACGTTTGTACTTAACTGTTTCAATTTTAGCAATAAAAACAACAACAACAAAATTACCTTGTGACGCTCATGATCAGTGGGCTATATGCAAGCATAATTAACCGTTTCCACATAATTAATCACAGCAGGATCGTAATGCGCTCGTACTGCGGAGAAATAAAACGTTACATAATAGATTGTAAAGTTTGGCCGTGTGAAGCAAAGCCCTGAAAACAAGGAGGATGCTGCAAAAGCGATCGAGCCTTCATTCCTCGGCTGCTGAAGCAAGAAGCTCGCTGGCGTGACCGATCTAACACAAGTGACACCGAGCTCTAAATGAGAGCCCTGACCAAGAGAGAGTTTAATCTCTTCCAAATGTAGGAGTATGAGATGGAAAAAGCGGCGGAGCTGGGAGGTGTGCTGAGGTGTGGCGCAGAGTGCTGACACGTCCCAACTGGGCCAATTACCACGGTGAGGCTACAGCGTGCGATTTAGCCGCAGAGCAGACTAAGATGGAGAGCCGTCACCGCAACTCCACTTCATTACAGGCACCCAGACCTGTCGCTGCCCGTTGGCATTTGGAGATAATAGCATGAAGGGCGCAAAATGTATGCCTAGTAAATCATGCCATTTTCCAGCTGTTTGCTTGGGGAATGAGATGAGCGCAGAATTAATCGCTGAGCAATGAAGGCATGGCTGAATTGTGACAAATTAATACCACCGCAGTCATCAAAATAGGACTCTTACTCCACATTACAGCCATTAGCAGTGATGACCAAATTCAGCGGGCCCCAGCTAAATATTACCCCCTGTCCCTGAGTTAAGATATATGTGAGGCAATGCAAATTGTGATTGGCTCCCAGGGCAGAGAGGCCTTGCCAGTATTTGAAATGCTGCCAGTTCACAACAGCTTGGACCGGATCTTAGGATTCAAAAATTATACCAACCGCTGTGCCAGACTGGCCAGAGCCAAGCACTCATAGCCTGGAACTTCCCAAAACAAAATCCAAAGTTTGATTTTGTGTATTAAAAAAAAAAACAACAACTTTAAAGAATTTTTCAATTTGTGAGGTCCAACTTTTTCAGCAAGAAGAGTCACAGTTAATTTCACACCTACTTAAATACTTAGGCTGAATGCATCAGAAGGAAATGGTTTAGAACTAAAGCTTTTAACTGTGGTAATGATTTGTTTTAAATGAGGCCAAAAATGGACATGCAGGGGCCGTTAGAAACATTTCTCTCTACGCTTAATGATGGCTTACGGACGCAACAGAGCAGGTAATGTGTTATATAAATGTATACTAAACAGTGAGTGAACATAAGTGAGTATAATTACACAGATGCTTTTCTTATGTATGATTAACATACCTATTACCTACTACTTTTCCCCTGCTACATTTAGCTCATGACTTATGATCACGCATGTTTTAGGATGATCATGTTTCCCCCCATATTGCATTTTGCAGTATTATATACTTTTTATAATTCGTATATATGAGGCTAGTCACAGAGATTGGTAACTCCTGGTCACTAGAGAAAAGTGTGCATTCCCTGAAGAACTGCTGAGTGGTTGATGACTGACCGGTATTTAAATTAAACTCCCACACATGCAGGCCAAAAGAGAAGCTAGTGACCCCCTTACAACCTCCGGTTGCTAGGGAAAAATGTGTATTCCCCAACCAGTTGCCATGTGGTTGCACTAGGTTGCTTTTAGTACTAGATAAAATTGGTTGCATAGAGGTAAACGGTCCTGTAATGAAAACCTTCTTGCGACTGCCTTGTTTGCACGTATGATGGTCGTGATTGCTCATAGCTCGGGCAAACTTTAGCTGCTATGGTAACTTGATTACGAGTTTGACTACAATTTTTACTAGTTTGATTACAGTTTGATTGGAGGCAAACTGGTATCTACTATGAAAGCTATGGGTGTCCGAAGCAATCTGCTAACAACCAAGGCAGCTGCAAGGAGATTTTTGGTGGATCACCTCCAGCAACCGATTATTATCCTGCCACACGTAGAAACCTCCACTTGCCAACCGGTCAGGGATTACCTGGGGTTGCCACCTCCTGACAACTCTAGGTGAGAAAAATATGCATTCCCCAGTCAGCTCCCATGTGGTTGATCTTGGTCGCTGCCAGTCGCTAAATGAAATTGATTGCATAGAGATATGTGGTTCTGTATTGAAGACCTTCTAGCGATTGCTTTGGATGATGCCCTACACCCAGCAACCTATAGCAACTACTCTCCAACATTTTAGTGAATATACTCCTTTCCATGGGGGTTGTCAGCAGCTAGTTGCAGCAAATTATTTATTTACAGCAATGTTTTCAATAAACACCTGGAAAACAAGGTATATTTCTATGGAATTCAATTACATTATCTGCACATGAGCTTATACAAACAAGAAACTAAACTCAAGACTACTTGGAGCTGTTGGAGTCCTCAGCATGTCAGCTTTTTAACCTGCTCTTAAGAGCGAGTGAGCATGTCAGTCAGAGTATATCTGCCCTGTCATTTAGTCTCTTTCACACTTCACAGGTCCCCCACAGTCAAAACAATCTCCCTTTGTATCATGCAAAGCACAGCCAGACTGCTTACACCACCAGTTCTCGCCCCCCCCCCTCTCTGCACTCCCCGAGGTCTCTCTGCTCACCATAGCGAAGCTTTCGCTGCTTCACCTTTCACCTCACATTACCACACTTTCCCCGCAGTGCGTGCTGTGTATTGTTAACTTTGGCATCTTCGGCATGGACGACTAAAGATGCCCTCCTTCCCTCCCATGTCCCTCTGTTCTCTGGTTTCATCTTCCTCCCGTGAAGCAACAACACGATCATAAAAGAGAAAGTGATCAGATGCAAAACTCTGATGACAGGGGGCTCCACTTGGCAACACGTTCCCTTCACTTGCACTGAAAATCAATCAGCCCTCGGTGTGCCTGACATCTGGTAAACTCATCTGGATGTCTATTGGTTCGAATTCCTCTCGCCATATGTTGTGCGCTACGTTAAACAAAACACTCATTTTTACGTCCTGATGCTGACAGTCTGAGATGAGGTAATCCACATCCATCGTAAACATGGCAGAAATCATAATTATTTGTAGTCTGCCTTTCGCTGTGAAACGCATCAGTGTGCACCCGAATGAATGGCAGGTGATCGTCTACAGAAGTCTGAATTCCCGTAGTTATCCGATTCATCTTACTCTTCTTCACTCCTGAAGCAAAAATCCATCATCTTCTCTCCTTTTATTGCACCAAGGTAAACTAGATCAAAGCGGCGCTTGAGCTGCAAAGTTTTATCGCCCTCCTCTTTTCCTTTTTGTTCACTCATTTTCCACAGATGACATCCTGCATCTGTTTCCCTCCAATGGTGTCCTTTCTTGGCTGCCGAGTTTTAAAAACCACAGTGCCCATAAAATGAGAAGTTATCAAAGTTTTTCTGCACCGAACAGCAATAAATTGGCAGTGACATTTTCAGTACATGGCTTCTGGTCTGCTGCCGGCTTATCGGTTACATTTTGTTTTTATACCTAACTCTGTATAAGCACCTCTGGTGTATAATACATCACAGCATTTTGCCCTCAGATACTGCGTTTCAGTTTCTTTGGCAACTCCAAGGAGAATCTTTATTGTTCCCCACTAGTGTGAGAAGCTAAATCAACATTTTCCCCCCCAAAAAAATAGCTCATTTCTATCCATAATTGATTTGTTTCTGAAATGTTTTACAACTTATGAAGAGTAAAGAGGTCCAAATTTTGCCCAGAGGTCATCCAATACAAATGAGGCTGTGACCTATTTTCATAAATGCTCCTTAAAGAAAATAATAAGAGCGAAGGCAGCATGGCAAGCATAATGTGTTTCTGGATATGATGTCAGTGTGCTAATACAAAGCAAAGAAACTCTTCCCGAAAACAAAAGCTTTTTGGACAGAAACATGAATCTATTAGTTTAGTTCTGAACAATCTGCCCAGCAGAGCTTCGCTCTGCCTTTTGTTGAATATGAATCTCAACTTGACAAGCTGTCTTGAAGATAAATGGTACCAAATTAATGCAGAAACCATCCAACCAGAAAATGTAGCATCAGCGTAGCATAGCAATTAAGTCCACATTAAATACAAAGGACACATCAAGTGCCAGGATGACTGCTTATGTGCAGCCTTGACTACAGTACAACTGATGACCCTTGACCCCAGCTGTTTCTACTGAACATTACAGTTCTCCTCAGATGGCTAACGTTAACTTTTTTTTTACTGTTTTCTGGCCACCGACAGCCTCTCTGTTGGTTCCCTGTGCAGCGTCCAAGACATAAACAAAAGAGAACAAAAACTCAGAGGATTTCACATACCTTCTCTCCCGGTTCACCTTTCAGTCCCTCCTCACCCAAATCACCCTGCAATGACATCACAGAAACCTGTTCAGTCTCTTGGACGCAGGAATGAGTCAGTGCTGACAGTACATGACATGAAACATGATTGCTTTAACAAGCTTAGCACACAGTAGGACAAGCTTCTTCTTCTTCTGTGATTGCACTGGAGCAAAGCTGCTGCTTTATCTTCACTTTGATCACTTAGCCGTCAAATGAAGATCAAATATAAATGTAATATTTAGGTGATGCCCTGTTACGAAGCTCCTAAGCTCACTGCATTGAGAGCTGTGATAAACTTCACTTCTTAACTCCCAACTTTTGCAATATTTGCTGTACGGCCGGGATCATAGCTCGTCCCATCCACGATATGACTCGGTGGAAGCCATTTGACTGGTAGTTTTCTTTATAAGGAGAATGTCTCGTTGTTGGAATAACCTTCAAATGAGTAAGTCTGGTGAGCCAGCTTTTTTTCACACACCCCCAAGAGGCTGTCATGTCTCAAATGCACACTCTACGCGCATTCCCAGGCTCTCAGTTGTACTTTGTTTTTCCTGTTAAATAGCAACAGTTAGCATACGATACCAAGCTGGTAAATCTATCTGCTCAGCATCAGCATGTCAGCACGCTGGTTAGAACTTAACTCAAAGCACGCAGACTCACAGACTCTGTAAAATGTTGCTACACTCTTGTTTTATCAGTGGATTTCGTATCACAGCACGGCTATAAATCCCGACTGTGTAAATGTAGTGAAACATGACATGTTTCATCAAATGAAATTAAATGGGGAAACACAATGATTTGCAATCATGAGTGTCTTTGTAAGTTATCCCTGTTGTGATGTCAAAATATATACATATATTTAAAAAAACTGCAACAAGCTTTCTACTTTCCCTTTTTATCTGTTAGAAGCCTTTTTTCTTTTTTAATTAGCTTGCTGACTAATTAATGAGGAAAAAAAACAAGTGTTTAATGTTAACATGTCTGACTCCTCTGAAAATAAAACCTCAGAGTACTTTGAGCCAAGCTGCCTGGCAGGGAAAAGGTGATTTCACTTTTAATAAATCCCCATGATTTTATATTAAGATTAGACCGCGAATCAAACAACGCCTTGCAGTTCCAAGGATATGAAATCAAAGGGTGTCTCATTGTGTTACGCTATAAAAAAAAAAAAAGAACTTCAAGAAAACGAGATTATTTTAACAGCTTCAATGCTTCAAACTGCTGTTTATTTTTCCATTTAGGAATTTATCATAAGTTGAATCGACAAAGCCAAAAAGTGCAGTTTTTGCTAGCAGCGCTGGCCTGCCACATGGCATCTCTTCCAAACCCGAAGGTCAGGACCCCATTAGTGCTCTGACAAGTCTCAGGATGATTATATGACTGGAAATGATAAAAAAAATTAAATCTGCAGAACAAATTGTTTATTTTGTCAGAATTTTCTTAATTAACTGGACATGGTTTCCTCTTTACCCTCCTGCAACCTGATGAAATGATCTGAAAAAGGTGCATCCCTCTTCTGGAAAACTGGTCACGATTTTTAAGACGTGGAAATTGTGGCAAAGCCAAGCGGCCAGGAGTCGACAAAGCACAGAACCAGGTTCATACTAATACGAACTGACACACTGGATGCTCGTGTTCTTTTTCAATCCATTGTGTTAAAAAAATATTTTCACTTTGACCTTTTTTTGTGCATCGCGGTAAAGGATACACACGATGCTGTGAACTGGGATCGCTAGGAGATGCTATCACATCTTTACAGCAAGCCAGGTGTGTTAGCGACAGAGACACTGTCTCTGATTCAGCTCAGAACTGATCCAGCTGACAACGACTGCCCGAGGGCCAGCTTTGTGGTCGATGAAGCACACACGATAAGTCATCACTTAACTCTCCAGCCCGCTGCACTGTCATCCCGGTCAGTGTTTCACACCTCCCACCCCGCTGCCGTCCAACAACAGCAAATAAGAGCACCATTACAATTACAGAACAGAGGGAATAAAGCTGCCGTTCCTCTGTGGAGCTGTTTTATGGGTCTGTTCTTAGGTTTACTTCACGGCCTGGAGTCGGTGAAGCTGGGTGCAGTTTTTGTGACTCACTAAATCACTGACTCACTGGTGGCTAAGTTACAGAAGGGAGGCAACTTCAAAAAAAACAACAAAAAACTAGCTGGAGCTGGGAGATGTAAAGGCAGAGCTGCAGTCGTGGTGATGAGATAACAGACTGACGCTAGCAATAATGTCCGAAGATCCAAATTAGCGCCTTACCTTTTCACCTCGTTCTCCCATTTCACCCTGTTAGGAAGGAAAGCAGAGCAGCAGAGATAGAAAAAATGAGGGTTTGGGGGGGTTATTGCACACACTCAGGGTCAGATTGTATCTGGGGTTAAATTCATATTTGATTATAAATGTTATGACTGCTTTTTTTCCCCAGACAGACCCTGACATGAACTTTTTTGTTTTTTAAATTTAAAATCGCTCTTGCATTATCATTGCAGCATATTTTTATACCATGCATTAAAGTCTTCATGGAGGATATATATTTTCTTTCTGTTACATCAAAGATGAATACATGTATATGCATGTTTTTCAAAACCATGAAAAAGAAATCACAAAGGGACAAAACGGCTGATGGTCAAAAGGTAAGATGAAAAATGACTGAAAGGGGGAGATGCTTCTGTGAGAGGATAAGGGAAGTATTGCAAATGACTTTAACCCTCTGGAGTCAAGGGACATCTCCAAATCACATGACTGAATTAGGATGACCCTGCAGCAAGACACAGCCTCACCGGGTCTCTGTTTCAGTTTGTATTAAAAGTGTGAACTATATACTAACAGTGCAGTTACATGGAAGGTTTCTGATGTGATAATGATATTGTTAAGCTATGTAAAATAATCCATATATCAGCAAAAGTGTTCACATTGAGTCTTATATTTTAGATCATCTCAACAGATATTTGGGATTCAGGATTTTGTTTTAGTTTGATATTGCAAAGTTTGCTGGCAATGGTTGCTGCTGCTCTCACAAAGTGCAGGGTGGGATAACATGACTTTGACCTCAGAGGGTTAACCCAAAAAAAACGGGGAAAAAGCGACTGCTATGACTTCACAAGAATATGAGCACACAGAATATGTGTGCACCCCGACCTTGGCTCCTGGAACACCGTCCAGTCCTGGGATGCCAACATCCCCCTACGGACAGCACAAGATACACACAGTGACTGACTCAGTGTGCTGCGTAAGCAGTTCGACTAAAGATTCAAGGTCAGGAGATATGACCCCTACACTCCCCACCCCACAAAAAGCCAACAAAACAAAAGAAAATGCATATTTTTCTTCTTAAAATTGAGATAACAATTGACTCAGACATAAGAGCGAGTGTATGGTGCAAAGGGCTTTTGCAGGATAGTTGGTAATGCAGCACGAGACAGGTGAGATACAGCTACACTGACAGAACTGCTGTAAGGAGCGTAAATGTACAGCTACAGCACTATGAATTCTATAACATTCCCCAAAAGTTCACATGTATCAAATATTGAAACCGCAAAGTGAATGTGAAAGACGAGAGGATAAACAAGCTGATTAAAAGCTTAATTATCTGGTTTGGTTCTGTGTATGTGCAGAAGAAGAAAAGCCAAGCCCGTCTGACGGATGCCAGTTTGCCGTTAGCCTCGATCCCTTGTCTCCGCGGCTCCCTAGCTGAAAAACCAACCTCTGTCCATCTGCTGCCAGAAACAATTAACCTCCTGACCTTTGCAAACATACCACGTCATTACCCTTTCAGAGGAGCAGTAGCTATTCCTCAGCCCAGACAGACAGCTTTAACCAGATGAAGCTGATTAATGTAGCCAGAGTGGAAAAATAACACAGTGCATTACTTGGATTAAAATACATGTCACCAGGCAGCTCGGTACTGGCCATATTCGAAGGAAAACTGTGTTACTGGATGTCATTTTTAATATATCTTAATGCTATTTTCACTTTTCCCCAAAATGCTTCATGCTCATGGGAAACTCGGCGTGTCTGATCCGCGCTGGGCGTGTCCCTGCAGCTACACACTCGTGGTGATGTTCGTCATAAACGCCGAAGCCTCAGATCATTCGTCAGCCGCATATGGAAGTCATTGACATAATAATGACACCCTATTGACATAATGATGATAGAGTCTGATTAGGAACTCCAAAGGTTGGCTTGATAAGGTGGCATTAGTGATTCTGCTGGGATATCCATGTCAAATCAATACCGTGTCTGTGCGAGTGGACCCGCCACTGCCGCCTGAGCAGCTTTAACTGCTTTTGAGTCAAACTTTCTGCAAGAGTGAGACTTACATACCATAACAGGTTCTGCTTTATAACTGCACTGCACAGCATTGGAGATCTATTTCATGGCTGCTACAAAACCTCACTCCTTTCATTTTGGAAACAGAATTAAGCTTTCAGCCTCCACTGTAGCCAGAGTTAGCATGGATTTTACTTTAAAATGAAACTTCTTCACTCTGGTTCCTATTACAGCCATACGTGCCTCTCCTTTCTTTAGAAGTGCATGTTTGAGATTAGAGCGATGCAACCCTCAAACTGCCTCCCCATTCATTCTCTTCACTTATACCATCGTTTGTTCTGGAATAAATATGCTTTTCCATCTCTTTTTTCTCCTTCCCTCCGCCCATTGTGAAACACCTGCACTGCGTCTTCTTTATCCGCTCCGAGAATGAATAGCAGACATGAGCCGAGTGTGTGAACAGATTCAGAGGCAGCCAGAACGGTACTTTGTGGTTAAGGCTTGAAGAAGAAGCCCACGGGTTTTCTCCCAAAACGAAATAGTGGTTTGAAACTGTCAGAACTTTTTTTTTTCTTATATAAAAAACTAAAACACATGGGGAGAAAGATTAACGAAAGATTAATGCTCAAGTGAGCCTTTTCATGATAAAATACTATCAGGTGCGCAGATGGATGTTGGTTCTCTGAACTTTGTGTGCATATTTTTATTTTAGGGACACATAAAAAGTCTTGAGGGACAATAATGCTGCCTAGTAGTGGTGTTTTTTTCCTCTTGGAAAAGTACATTCACTAATAAAAACAACAGCAAGTCAGCAAGAACTAGTTAAAAGCCCAGAAGTGTAGAGCTTTACAAGAATTCAGTGTAAATGAGTTTGCTCACCTTCAGTCCATCAACACCGGGAATGCCAGGAGGCCCGAGTGAACCCTGGGAAATAAAAGCAAAGTTTGTTGGGTTTTTTGCATCATTACATTCGACCATCTCGCTGCTCGTACCGTCACGGCCGGCTCAACGGTTGTAAATAAACACCGGCGGCGTATCCGTTCTGTCTGCCGCTGATCAGGGCGTGCTCTGATGTTACTGCGCCAGACCAGCATAAATACTGCATGTCATATTTTATCATCTGCTCTGTTATGGACAATACAGCCAGAAGGCAAGACTGAGGACACTCCTGCTGCACTTCAAACTGAAAATGTACTGCCCTGTGAAATAAAGAAATGTTTCGCACAGCAGATGTACTCGAGATTTTACCGCATCTACTGCATCAGCTTAGTAAAAGTTGGTTTAGACTCTGAGGGCCAAGCGTGTTTTAATGAACGCCCGCTCTCTGTTCTTCGCGGTTTGCTTATGTTGGCTTTTTGCACCGCTTTCATAATAAAAGCCATTTACAGTTACCGGTCGTATTTAAAGATGTATCAGAGATGTTTGAGAGATGTGAGATACAGTCGCAGGAAAGCATCGTGTCGAGGGTTGAAAACCGTTCACGCTGGACTTTTTCGTCATGCGGTGGCACCGAATCAGTCACTGAGCTGATGAAACTTGAATAACCCTCGACGCGGCCCCTCTACTAAACACAGCGCTCCACTAGCAGCAGATCTAATTGAGTAGCCTCCGGGCCTGGCTTATGAGTCATTAACACTGTGGTGTGTCATCATTGACCCCTCCACACACACACACACTCCCTCTCCCACGCCGACGGGAGGCCTTGCCGACAGATGACAGTGCAGACAGGAAGTGTCTGATTGGGTTACACTGAACAAACACTGGCAGCTACCTGATGGCTGGATATAGCTTACATCTGTTCCTCACATCAGCGCCACCAGGGACCCGCAGCCTGTATCACAGCACTTAGCTCCAGGCTCTCCGTTCTCCATCTCTCTCCTTCTCTGTCACCCTTTTTTCCCCACTTCTGCTGTTTATTCACCATGACTGCGCAGTGTCTGTCGCTAATATGCAGGTAAACATACTCATCAAACAACACGTTTACAACCGTTTGTGCAACGAGAGCTGCTGTGACATGAAAAACAGTTTGGTTTAGATCAGAATTCAACAGAGGGACAAAAAAAAAGTTTCCTTTGTACTTTTATGTCACAACCAAGTCAGCGAATCTCATTTAGTTTTCTTTAAGAAAAGCAAGAAATGCCAGCAAGAAGAAAGAAATGATTTTCTGTAACTTACCTTCGGCCCTTGCGGCCCCTCAGGTCCCTATAAATGAGAAGAGAGACGGAGAGAGATTGAGTGCAGGAGAAACGCAGCAAAAATAGTTCATGTGAGATGAAATAATACAATTACCAGAGCCAACATGGTCAGAGCAGAGAGACTGGCAGAGCTTGTGGTAGGATTTCATGCAGCGCGCACACACCCTTCAGGAAGAACCCGAATCACAATCAATCCCTTGTTTTATTCTCCAGCAAAGAATGAAAATCCGCTCACTCCCTGCCTTCTTTTCGCTGAAGTGACCCATAAACAGGAATCTTTAATAAGCTCATGAATAACAAAAGCTTTTATGGTTTTATCTTTTATGTTGATCTGTCTTTACTCGTTTTAGTGACTGTAAAAACTTGTCTCGTTTGGCCGCGCTACATTCCGAGTCTACGGTCCAACACATAGAGAGGTTCATTACCTAAATGGGCCAATATCTGGAAAGCTTTGCAAAGCTAACAAGTTAGCCAACGGGGGGAAAAAAGGCGCCTCATCTCTAAGGCAGATTTAAATCATGGATCGAAGTGTCTGGGAGGACAGTTTCTATTTACAACCTGCTGTTTACTGCAATGAAACTGGAGGCCGCGTTGGGCTGTCGGCCTCCTCCGCTGGAAGCTGCCTAAAACAACACGACCGCATCGTGAAGAAACTGGGAAGCCTGGGTGAAAGTTAGCTCCTTCCTTGTTTCTGAAAGACTTTTGAGCTATCGCACCAGCGCGGCAGTTCATCAACACCTTTACGCCTGGCTGTTATGACACCTCACGTTGGCCGGCTTCTTTCACACTTTCGGCCATTTGGCTCGTCGCTCGCAGCTGAGTCAAGGCCAGGCGGACCTTGTGCCCCGCAGGCTCTCTACAGCAGCAACTTTTCCTCGCTTTGCTCACGTCGATGTATAACTGGCAAAGCTCAAGCTACGGTCCCCTGATGTGTGTAAAACGTTTGTGTGAGAGTGTTAAAAAGAAGCCAACGAGGACACGTTCGGGTTGAAAAGTTAAGACTGTCAGTGCAAATTTGCCTGAAGAAGAAGCCCGGTTTGATGTCGGCCTACTTGTGACTTGACGGCGATTAAATTCTGCGAATAAGCTGATTGTTGGATCGGTTTTAGTATTTGTTGTTAAAACGGGCTATCACCAAGTAACTGTACCTCAAAACTTCCCTCTCCCAATTTCCATTTTTCCCCAAAATTGGCCCGTTAAAATCCCTGTAGCAACAAGTTCTCACATTTTCAGAAATGGCCCACACAGTTGCAGCTCATTTATGGTGCATTCCTTGTGCACTTACAGCAAAAACCTCAATGAACAACTTTCATTATCCTAGCCAACCAAGAAAAAGGTTTTCCTCCCATTTGCCTTTAAAAGCCTTTGTTAGCTGTCCTCAGTAGGGTTTAGTAAACATCTTTATGACCCACTAGGTATGTGAGAGCATGTGCCGCTCGCCTGAGCGCTAATTAGCTTGGCTACATCTGAGAACACTCAGAAGCTACTGCTGAAAAGGAGTTTTTTTGTTTGTTTTTTTAAAGAAAGTCAAGAGCGCTTAAGGAAGTCTTGGCTCTTTGGTTCTCAACCCTGGATCCTGACTTTGGTGAAAAATGAAAAGGGAAGAACAATCCAAAGATCTTTGTGAAAAAGGATTATTATTCCATCTGAAAGTGTTCATCACGATAGCAGATGTTCAGCATGTAGCGGCTTAGCTGCCTCATTTAGCATTCATAAAGGAAAGAAATTCCACAAATGTGCAATATCAACAGGCTGCCTATTGAAGTCGAGCATCCGAGCACAAATACAATGCGCTGAATGTTTGGTACTTTCATTCATGATTCGGACGTTGCGAACAATGAAGCCATTCCCAGGTCAATTCCCACACTCAATCAGCAGCACTTGAACCTTTGAAAGTTGAAGGACTTCCAGAATGTGTGGCATTCACATAAAAAATATTCGTCTGATCATAGAACAGAAAGGCTCCACATTCAAGCTTGTTCTGTTCAAGGCTTTTGTGTCAGTTATACTGTGAGTTTTCAACTATTATAAACTATTTAAACTTTTAAACAAATGTATTTTTTTCTCTTTTTTGCCTTAAGTTGTAGCTATATGTGCTTATTGCGGAGGCGTGCTTTATTCAAACTGTTCACATAACATTTTCTAAGAGTTTTCAATCACTCTTTATTGCTCCTGCCACTATAAACAAAAGCACTGTAGCCCGGTAAGGCAATAATGCAGAATGGCTTAAGTTAAACCATTCAAACCTTCACCTGTCATGCCTGCGCTGAGGTTAGGCTGTTTTAAAGACATCTGATAGCAGACTGCTTTCTAAACTACAGTATGGATGTGGCCTTAGCTATCAGTGGGGATGTGAAGGCCACTTCTTTGTCTATTTAGAGGATCTAGGCTCAGATAACACTGGATGTATTGCCCAAACATGGCCCGTATTAACAGTTGTGTATAGGTCTCTTTTGGCCTGTACTGATAATGTTGATTCATGGTGAGAATGGCTGCTTCAGCTCAGCCACAGGCGGACACAATAGAGGGGCCAGATGTCAGATGTGCTGTGACATTTGGGCCACATTTGGTGCACTCATGTCAAAAGTAGCTCGTAACTTCAGGGCCACGTCTGACCCCACAGAATACTTGGAGTGCCGTAACTGAGCCGTAATTTCCAATTACGCCTGAATGTGCCTGCTATGTGGGCAGATGCTCACTGACATTCAGGTGATTTTAGATTATATACATATATTACAGATGTCACATTTTCATGCTGGCTCTGATCTGTAATATCTCCACAACAATTACACACCTTGCAGTATGGATGAGTTTTGTAAGCCACACGTGTAGCTTACAGAAGATTCACAGGATTTGATTAAAATATCCGTTATTTTCACGACACATCTGCACTTTGATTTAAAGTTATATGCTTTACGTGGTAGTCGGGTCAAAGAGAAGAAAAGAGAGGCTTTGTAATGGATTTTGTTACTAGCTACATTCCAGCTGTAGTCCCCGCAGGTAAATGTGATCCAGTGACCTCAGCATTTTAAACATTCTGGCTATGGTCCTGTCTGCGGGCTCATTTATCAATCCATCCATCCATTTCCTTAACTACTTAACCATACAGGGTGGGGCCTATCCCCAGCTGCCACTGGGCGAGAGGCAGGGTACACATGGAGAAGTTGCCAGTACATCACAGGGCTAACAGGGAGAGACAAACAGCCATTCACATCCTCACCTATGGCCAATTTAGAATCTGTAATTAACCTCACGTACATGACTTCGCACCGTGGGACGAAACCGCATGCCAGACAAAACCCCCGAGTGTAGGTGTGCTTTGTTTTAACAACATAATAAGACCCAAGGCTGTAAAAATAGGAATTTGCCTCTAAGAACAAACAGATTTGTTCCACTAAAATGGTTTTGTCCACATTTCCCACAACATTGTTTGATTTCCCCGACCATGTCATAAGCTATTCGCTCACATCTTTGCTCCTCATGTTTGGCTTTACAGCAAAGGAAAACTCAGTCAAGGTCAATAAAATATCAGAGGTATGTCTTCATTGAACAGGCTTTTGAGGCACGAATGTGTCCCTACATTCATGCCTGTGGAGTTTTTTTTCATTCATTGTCCAAGGTGAACTACTGGTGCATTGTGGGTAGCTTTGGAATGAATAGGATGCAAAAGGGGATCAGTGAAAGTCTGCTGCATAATTGGAAATTACACCAAAAAGCAGATGGAAGAGGCTTCTCTCAGCGTTGGATGGAACATATTTGGACTTTTTGTTCTGAACAAGCTGAGCTCCAGATGAATGCTGAGTGTGGGGCTGCAAGCCACCTTTGGAGAGCTGAAGACCCCCTTAATTTACCACAGAGAGACCTCGTGGCACTGATGATTTTGAACTTAGTCCTGAAAATATTTCCTTTTCTTCTTCTTCTTGTTCTTCTTCTTTCCACCTCCCCCCCCACCACCTCCTCCTTGTTTCTCCACAAGAGCTTAATCCTTCTAACCAGCACCACATGTCCTGGAAGGCTGCTGGAAAACTCTGGAATCTACTTTTGCCCCTTTAACAATAGCATCTACATTAAAAAAACTCTGAGCTGTGTCAAGTGGGCGCTAGCGCCGAGAGCGCTGCAAAAGAAGCAAAAGTCGGTCGAGCGGTGACCTCAGAATCCCTGCCTCCGGCTCACTTGTGGAGATCGAGATGTGCCAATCACAGATTATTCTTTCAGCTGGCTGCACAAAGTGGAGACTTGTTGCTTATGCATCTAATTCATATTGATTTGCACAGGCCAACCAAGGGCGGGGACTGGCGGGATTTTTTTTTTCTTCTCTTAGATGGGAAAATGTCTTTTTATTTCTTCTCCAGAGGTTTATCAGCTACAGAAACTCTTCTCTTTAATCCAGTATCTTATCTTTGCTCTTTTTTACCAGGGAGCAGCAAACATTGTCGTTGCATGAAATCACAGGCCGCAAACGCAGTAACTGTGCTGTCACATGTTTTTACAACTGCTGGGACATGCTCATCTCACGCTGCTTTATAGGGCGATGACTTTACTCCTTGTTAAAAGTACATTAGTGTCACGCTGTGTATGTACTTGTGAAAGAGGATGCTTCATTTCAGCAGTTACAGTAAGCAGTCCTTAATTCACGTTCAGACGGGTTGAGAGTCTCTGTTCATTGGTCATCGGAGGTTGTGCAAACACTAGGCTTATGTGAGCGCACCTGGGAACATCCATCGCAAAGTGTACATTCATCACAGAGTGGATTTTCAAACCGAACGTTGCTGCTTACACAGCTACCCGCCCAAAGTGGGATAAAACACGAAGCCAACAAAAGCAACAGTAACTTAAAAAGCAGAAAGAGGGAGGGAACTTTACTTTAGAGGATCGCCCATTAAGTCGTCTAAGATTGATTAGCACCTTTGGATCCTTTACCTAATGCGTCTTTTTCGCTCTAGCCTCAATTATTTCCTCTGTCCATTTCTCCCCAGCCCACCAAATTTTTCCACAGGGGAAAAGGTCAAGGGGAGCTGGAGTCAGAGATGAAAGCACTTGATAATACCTCTTCTGTCAGCTTCACTTCCCTTCACTCCCCGCATCCACTGATGTGACATCGAGTGTTTTTTGTATCACGTTTTCCATCCTTGCTCTCCCTGGAATTTGGTTTGACCTATTCGTTGTAGCTTTTATGAGGAAACTTTAATCAAGTGCTTTATTTGCTGAACACCGCAAGTGGTATCCAGTTGCCATCAACTGGAGCAGCGACTCGTCCATGCGGCACAAAGGGTTTGTGAGGGAAAACAAACTTTTCCTTAACAAGTTAGCATAAAACGTGTCATTCGCTGTCATATCGATGAACCATCTCACAAATATCTCATGAAAAATATATACACTGTCAGTCAAATGGTGCCATTAGAACAACAGAGCCCGCTTTGAGAAGTCTTACATATGAAGCATATTTGGCTCTGACTAAACCTACTTGCTACATAATTTCTTCTTTTTTTTCACAGTTTTGATGTTTTCAGTAGAAATTGACACAAAAAAAAGGCTTTTCCAGACTTTTGAGTACAACGGATAAAAAAACATAAAATGAAAACTTAAGTTTATAATTAAATAAATACATAAAATACATCAGCCCGTCCAAAGCTTGAGAAATTTTGGAAAATTACCTTGGCATTGACAGTTCTGCACATAATATCACAAATAAGACACTAATTCAACTTGGGGTCTGGCTTAACTGGAAAACCAGAGAAAAGAGTCTCCATCCATTTAGATAATTCCAGGAAGGAAATATACACACAGGACTCCCCTGTACACTCCGACTTCTGCATGCATTTAACTCAGAATGTCTATAACATGTCAATTAGTGAGCATTAAAGCATTTTTCAGGCCAATTTCCTCACATTTGGAGAGGCCAAATCTGGCAGTCCTGCTCCATTTGCAATCTTCACGCTAAGCTAAGTGACTGCTAGCAATAATTTCATATTTATGAAAAGTCACGCAAGCGATCATTCTTTTCATCTAAGTCTTAATATGTCCATTTCTCAAAATGTCAAACTACCCAGATAAATCCTGGACTCGTATCGCCTACATTTTGTTAAACAATTCTGCAAGGCTACGTTGTTAATTAGCGTGTCAGGGCAGCCACAGAAGGGGATGTTCGAAACAAAGTTTGGACTCACCAGGGGTCCCGTTTCCCCAGGCTGTCCTGGATCACCCTGTAAGAAACATAAAATCGTTAATGGAAGCAGAGCGTGTTATAATCTTACCTAAAACAAGTCTTGCGTTTAAAATGCTGCTTTTCTCCATATTACGTTCAAATTCCTTCTATTATAGTATCAAATAGCCAATATATGGTGCATAGCAGCCAGGCTGAAAGAGGAGCTTGCCATTGTGCTGAGAGGCACTTATCCAGCTGTGCCACCTGCACCCTGCACTGTATGTTTCCAGAAACCTTGTTCCTGTTTCGACTTTTGGTTCATGTCTATCGCACCGATGTTCCAACAGTTCGTGGTGTAGCAGAGAACTGTAGGAACATGCCAAAGCGATGTTTGTACATATTTGATTGGTACATCTTTGCGGGACGATTTTTGCGACGCTCCTCCTGAGCTATTCATGAAAGGAGACCTAAATCACAAGAGCAATAAAGCGGCCTCGCAAAAGAAAACCAATTTCTTGGGAAAACGCAACAACTACTGCCACTGGAAGAATTGCAAATCATCTTAAAAACTTGGAAAGAACCAGATAAACAACACTTAATATTTTCGCACTCCTACTGTGATCTCTGCCAAGACAATAAAGATCTGGATCCCTCAGAAGGTTTTATAGCTCAACATAATTGACAGGCCTTTTCTGTTTCTTCTTTCTCTCACAGGCAGAGTTCACATAAATTAGCGTGATGCCAATGACAGGCTTAAGAACATGGAAAATGTTACGTGGTAATGAAAAACAACCACGTGAATGTAAATCTATACAGTAAAACCTTCTCCTGGGAGCCTATTCATGTTTAGTTATATAGACGTGAGGGCGATGAATTGTAATGTAGCTTGTCTAGTATTTATTAGAAAGGTTTTCGTTGGAATAAACCCTCCCAGCAACAAGTCAAAATCATACTGAATAGAAGCACAAACAGAGCTGAACTTGTTTAAAACTTACTGGAAATGACAGAGTATTTATTACAGGATACGCTGACAGAATTTTGCTGATCCAAACAAATTTTAATGATACATAGAGTAGAAAAAAACTAGTTGTATCAAACGTTCTCAGATGCCAAGCAACAATCAGTACTCACCGGTAGACCAGGCACACCTCTGGGCCCATCCTTGCCAGTGTCTCCTGGAGGCCCCCTCGGTCCAGGAGGGCCCGGTGGCCCCGGGGGCCCGGGTGGCCCTGCTTGCCCCTGATCTCCCTGTGTGGCGAAATAACACATTAAAGAATCATTATGGTGTGTTATTTTTGGACTGCTGAGACTGGAGCCACTACAGTGAAATGATAATTAAGAGAGAGTCGTGGAATGTTCTTGTGGGTGGCGATGGGCTGCCTCCATTTATAACATGACGAATGAGCTTTTTGGAGCTAGCATACAACTTAAGTTAGGAGGAGCTGCAACGTAATGATTTGTAGATGAAATATTAATCCTTTAAAATGCATGCAATCCTACAGGGCCATAATGAGTTGAGTAAGGACGGTGCTTTAGGTAACGACTCCAAAAAAACAAAGAAGTCCCATTTGAAGTTGACAAGTATAGAGCTACAATAATCAGGGGAAATATACTGAAAATGTGTGGTCCATTATGATACTGCATTATAAGAAATTCTATGAAAATATTCTGCAACCTAAGTTGCAGGGAAAAACCTTTGAGTGGTGCCAGGACAGTAATTCATTTTACCTTAATAAAAGCTTTTTTTAAAATGAAGTTTCCATATTTTCCTTTAACAATAACAGAAGGAGCATGAGTGCTTATGACAGATCTGTCTGAAGGCTTGCATGCAAAGTGGCCAAAGAGAAGTGATTTGGTGAGACTTGGCACGGTGGACAGAGAGAGTGAGGACACACCCACTACCTTAATGAGCCGTCGCTTTATGAGCTGCTGGTCAGCGGAAAGAAAGCCATGATTGATCTTAGGGAAGACCATCTGAGCAGGTGTGTGAGGTCAAGAGGTCGTAGGTCAGAGGTGAGAGAAGGTTGAAGAAGGATGAAGTCCCAGAGGAGGAAGAAGAAGGAGGAGGAGGAAGGCAAATGCAAAAAGAAACAGATTCTGTTAGAAAGGCCTGTGTTCATGAACTCCGGTCCAGCACCTTCACAGATGGGGTGGTGGGAGAAATCCACACTTTTCCAGCACCGAGGTGGTTTGCTGAGGAAGTCTGGGCTTATTTTTTGGAGCCAGGGCCCATAATTATCACCTCTGGGGTGCGAGCGCGCCACAGCGAGTTCGCAGTCCCCTGGAAAAATGGGAATCACTCCTCCACTGTGAAAGTGCCGTCATCATCATCGTCGTGCCTGCTGCTGTGTCAGACCCTGAGAGCTGCGCACACTGAAACCAGCGAGGTCAAACCTTTGAGTTGAGGTTCATTTCTAATCTTTTTCCAGCACATGTCTGATTCTGCTTGTGTCCATTGGTATTTGGCAGTGAAACAATCCCCAAGGCCGTGCTAGAGGATCGGAGGATTTGTGGTGAACCATGAACTTGAGCTTTAAGAAAAAAAATGCCACTTTGCTTCATCACTGAGTATTCCTCTGGGAGTTCCTTCAATTCATTTTAGCATCAATGGACACAAGCCAAACCATCTCTGTGTTCAGGATGTTGCCTGTTTAGTCACCTGCATATTACCAGGTTGTAACAGGCCAACGCATTCACTTGACCTGCCTAGCATGTCAACTGGAGAACAAACCTCTTGAGCGAAAAGACTAGTAGCAGAAGTGTTGAGAAGAGGCTAATGGTTGACCTGCTGTGATTAATTAGATTGCACTTTTCCTGCGTGCACTCTATCATCACTCCTTGAGAAAGGCAGCCAACAATTTACTTCCAGTGTGTGCTGCAGAGGGGTCGGACTGAGCAGCGAGGCAGCAGCACCACCGACAAACCTTGACAGTCAGGATCTGATTGCTGTGCAAAGCAGCCAGCGTAGGGAGACCAGGCAATCCCTGAAGGGACAAATAGCAGAACATGGCACAACACACGCATGATATTCAAACACTGGGTGAACAAAAACAGTTGAAGAAGGAAGGAGACAAGCATCCTGCTTCTAACTAGCCTCATAAATGTTTGAAATATAATATGTGGAATTCTTTGACATGTATATATGAGTTTTTAAGAGCCGTAAAAAGCCAACATCAAAGTTAACTGTCAAACAAAGACTTCTGAGGACCAGACATTTAAATTCAAAGCTAAACAAGACCAGGTATTTTATTTTAAACAGCTAACTTTGATACAGTCCAAGTTTACTTTCCTCAATAAAACTGTGTGTTCAATGGCACTGGGATCATCCTGTGTGGGCTGCAATGGCACAAGTAACCATTTCCTCTTGTTTTCTTCCAATTATACGTTTGTTGAAATAATATTCATACAATACACTTTGAGCTATAACAGGCTGGTAAATTGAGAAGTGGCATTGTTCGTTTAGCTTCAGGGAACACAAAGACACTCAAGATGTTTGATGGAAATTCAGTCAAATGGTTTCCAACTCCCTTGTCAACAAACTTCATGACAGATGTGATCCAAACATAAAAACTGGAGGGAAGAAGAAAACATCGGGCTTTCTCCTTGTTAAAAGATGACAATAGTTTACAGCTGCAAAGAAGAGCTTTTATCTGAATCCAGAAACGCTGACATTTTGTCAGCTAAACATGGTTGTCCAAATGCTACAGTCAAATAAATGCAGCCCATTAAATTTAATCACATTGATGGGTATATCAATAGGCTGACACATTTTTATTTCATTGCATTTTATTACATGCCTATCAAACTGCAGCAGATCATCTTTTACACTCAAAGTGTCATAAACTAGGCAGGCGCGCGTCTAGTTGACTAGACACTGAAATGTTGCTGCCCTTGCTAGCTGGTGCCAGAAATGCTAGTTAGCTAAATGATGCTATCAATGTTACAGTGCTATAATGCTATCAACCTCGAAGGTTGAACTCAGGTTGATTTAACACCTAAATTCACCGGGGCATGGGGTGAACCAATGAACTGACATGAACTAGAATTGTTAGCATGTCTGGCTAACTGGCTAAAAAACCTAGCTTTAAACTAAGTTTGCTTTAATTGTTTATTTATTCTTTGACTGAATGTATATAACTACCCACGTAAATTTGCAGCGTTGCAGCTGTTGCTTACAGTTTACACTGTACAACTAGTTTGTTGGATGTCCCAATTGTTTCTATATTTCAAGTCCTTTACTGCACTTGGGAGATGTTACCAAAAAAACAAGCATTAGCCAAAATGTAGCATTTGCCACACACATCAGATCCTGTTCTTCCTTAAAGACTTTGATCTCCTATTACTCAAATGGAAAACATATGTTTTGAAATATGAGAAAGTTCAAATGTCAAGAAGCCATGAACAATTATTTTTATGTTTAAAGGAGCTAAATGCTAAAGAGAGGATTGCTATATTAGGGGACTTCTAGCCTAGCTATGATATCATATAGGCAGAGATTAAGTATGTATTTAAGCCCAATTTTTAAAAATGTTTCTCTTTTTCATACTAAGTCAGCTGGATAATAACATGCTGGAGTCAGTAGTTTTAACCAGTTCTTGATCAATATGCCTCATTTGAGATTGTAGCAGTTGTTACTTAAAAAAATGAAAGCCTGCCTTTCTTATGCATTGTGTGACATGGAAGCCCTACTTAAAAAATCAACTTGTACAAGGTGAGCTGGTGTATCACTGTAAACTAAAACTGCTGTGCAAACGGTGAAACCCTGAGAGGTCTTAGAAGGGGTAACTGAAAGGAGTGTGGTGCTGATATAAATAAGTTTTTCTTTAATAATAAAACTATAAAATGGCACCAAAAGATGACCACACACTGGTTGCACAATCGCTGCATATTCACTTGTTTATCCTCTTATCCTGCAGGTTTGCTATGTCAGAAATAACCAGCCTGAATGAAATGATGAAAACATATCTTAAAGACTGGCATAGTAGCATAAACATGGCCTGCAAGGGATCAATCTTTATATATATTCAAGTTTAAGATAAAATCTGTCCTATCCAAACATGGCTTTTGTGCCGTCCCTCTGGATTTCTAAAGATAATTCAAAAAGCATGGCTCATTAAGAATATGGGTTTCAAGGCAGGCTAATTTAATTCAGGCCTGCAGCCGAGCACAGCAGTGGATACTCTTACACTGTATACAATAGCCACGCTGTGCATAACTGGAATTGAAGCGCAAGTATTTTTCAAGTTATTTACAACCTCAAATGTTATTTACAACTTCAAATGTCTCGAGGACAAAGAGGGAAAGCAAGCACTGGATTATGATCAGTGGGAATAGAGAATATAAAAAGTCAAGGCATGAAATGTAGTGTAGTTCGTGTGCAGGCTGGCACATGCGACTGCTTTCTGGGATGTCTCTAGAGTCGTGAATTTAAACCGTACGGTCATTCTCAGACGCCAGCAGGGGACAAACGAAGAGAAAGTGGTGGCCATTCTGACAACAACCATGTCTAAAACACAATTCAGGCTTTCTGTGCAGGAGGTTAAAAGGCAGAGAAGCTTGGCTAGGTGTGGGTAAACTTTTACTCTTGCCTCCAAGCTGATGTCAATATGTGAGAATGATAATGACATGGTGGTTGACAGAGAATCCTAACCATTTGCAGACTGCCTTGTTTTGCTTTGCTAAACCGAAACGGATGTTGGTTATTTGGTAAGGAGCTTTGTTTCCATGTATTTGCCTGCAGCGAGGTGACTGGGATCTGTAGTAAACAATAAGCCGTATACGAGGCCAACAGGCATCCTCATTTATAGGACGCTGGCCAGATCCAGCATCTCCTCAACCACACCAAACACACAAAACATCCCGAGCGACTACAGGCTGTGGCATTTTCTGAATATCTATATATGGAGTGAATTACCAGCTCTGTACACAGATGGCTTTAATACATTTAAGTGTGTAATAACACATTCATCTGAAGCCTCAGATTTGGCATCAATCGGATACATCGAATTTATCTCGAGCGAAATTCATTTGAAGGCTTTTTTGATTTCATGCACAAATACACTGAAAATAATTCTTTGTTCATGACTAAAAAGTCAAATCCTGGAAATTATATAATCGTGGCCTCTTTATTTTGGAAGAATATTGCACATCGGTCACATTTGGGCAGTTTATTGGGAATTTTTCAGATTTTTTTTCCCCCCTTCAGTGAACCCAGGAATTGTTCAACCTTTGCTTGACAGCTGTAGCTGGTGCCATCTCTCAAAAGGACCACACACCTTTCTCGGTGATATACATAGCTACTAACTCCTGTTAATTGTATTTTAAAAGTGGAGTTCCAGAGCTGGCTGTGTATTTGTTTGTTAAAGCTGGCCGATTTATTATTTGCTGCTTGGTTAACCTCTGATGTTTGGAGATGACCTTTGACCTTCAGGGCAGACAAATGGCTGACTGTGATATGCGTGAAACAGGCAGAGGAAGTAGGCATCTGTGAGGGAATTCTCTCGGACACATGGCGAATCTCTTACCGTCTTTGGTCACAGAGGATCAGACTCTAAACTGATCCCCTGATGTTACAAGAAAACACACCAAAAAAAAGTTATTTTAAGTTTAAATCTGTTTATATTTGAAGGGAATTTGCCAAACTGGTGCATACGGGACACTCTTCACATGTTCTCTTGTATACACGTATCTCCATATGGCTTTAATCAACTCCCTGCACGCAGTCAATACTGGGCATGAAATTGGCTTCACTTCCAGCCTGATAGATGGACTCAAGGTCAGGCAGTACTCGTCCTGTTATGCCTTCATTTATTAAGGAAAACCTTCTAATACCGCTACACTACATTTACCTACTAATCTAATGTGCAAAGTCAATATGCTGCTCTGGGAAGTTAATACAATTTAGCCGTGACCTGGACTGCTTTTATGCCCCTGCAGTCCGTCACATATGACTACAACACCGTGTTCATTTGTACCTGTTAGGGGACAGTTTTGCCATAACCGGGAGTTAATGAAACGCTTTCATGAAATGGACAGTTTGTTTATGTAGTCTCTAAGACAAATAGGACCTGTGAAAACTCCACCAGCCACACTGCTGTTTCCAAAACATAAATCATTTAACTGATAGTGACAGATGGCTCCACTTCCGAGGTTAAAAGGCTACAAATTAGGAGCAAAACCAAGAAATCCTATCCAAATGAGGACATTTTGTTCCACTAAAGACATTTCCTGTGAGTTTCAGTACTATGGCACTTGCAGCTATAATTATTATGAAATGTCTTTTATTGAACCAAAAACTAACTGAGGATATGACTATATTTTTCATCACTTTTCTCTCTTTTTTTTGGTTTTTGTAGATATTGCAAAAATGGAAAACCACCTGGAAAACTACAACCTGACTATAATTTGAAGAGTGCCCATGTGTAACATTAGATCTATCACTAATCGAATTTCCCAGAAAAGGTCATTCAAATCACAAGAAAATCTCCTGCTTTTTTAGCCCTGAGGGGAGCTGACTAACGTCTGGGTGGGCATCGAATATGAACTGGGATCACATCCGCTTGGGAAACTGAAACAAGACAAACTCTCTTGTCCTGCTGTGCCATGCTTAAAGAAATCAGTCACCGGGATTCAAAACTACTGACTCCACATGATACAGAAGAAGTGGACTCGTGCACGTGGGACCCTCGGTTAATGCAGCCTACTTTAAACAAACCTGTGCAGCCTGCTTTTCAAAGAGGGCTCATTTTTTTAACCGTTATTTGAGAAAAATGAGAGCTACCCTAGCTGCTAAGTGGAGATAGAGTAATTAATTTCAGAGTCTGTCAAGCACGGAAAAGCACTCACATTATCATCATTTAGAAGCAGCACTTTTATAGAAATGTCAAACGGCAGAACTGGAAATGATTATAGTTCTGAACATGCCATGTCACTTTGAAGACTGAAGTGAATCACAAGTAATTATAGCGACTGAGCTCGTTGGCTTTTGATTATTGCTGAGATTAAGCAGAGCTCTTCAGCTGGTGTGCAAAGGCTTGTACTCATATTTAATTTAGAGACACAAGGTAAAAAAAAATCTAAAAAATTTCTGCATCTTGAAAAGGATACCACCCTATGCTTCCCAAAATATTTTGCACGTTCGTCTGCCCTTTCTTGATGGGGAAATAAGCAGTGCTGAAATGCTTGTTGTATTTGGCCACACTGGAAGAACACTATCCCAGGAATTTCACGCATCCCAAACCTTTTGCCCACAATTCTGCTGGGGGAGACGCACACACACACAGTCACATTCATCTGCTAATCACAAGAAGTCAGAGCAAACCGCATACCCGTGGTCCCTGGTCGCCTTGATCCCCCTGCGGAAAGAAGGAAAAAGAATTTGTCTTCAAATGAAAGGGTCAAACAAATACCCGAACACGCACGCATATATACAAAAGTGCGGCGCTAATGACGAGCTGAGACTCACACCCAAATTACAGCGGTATAATTCAGAACACATTGATAAGGAAAAATAATGCAGGAACCCTCAACTATCCATTGTGGTTGGGAGTAAAATCACTTATGATAACATGGACTGACATGGATTGGATATGAAAGACAGAACAGGGAGAGAGCGGTGGTGTGAGGTTTGGTGGGTGCCGTGCCAGATTTTATGCCCCAGACATCTCTCAGATGGCTTTCTGCCCTTTTCGGGGGTAGATCCCTGCAGAGAGAGCGCGCAATCCTCAAGCAGAAAACATTTGGTTTCAAATCGATCAGCATGGTCGATTGTGGCTTTATCACATTACAGTAAAAGCCCAAACAAAAGCAAAGTTTAGACTCAGTTTTTTATTATTTTATTTTGAAACGAGTGGTGGCGGACCAAATGTCAGACAGTGAAATATAACTGTAATCTGTCTAGAATTGGGTAAGTGAACATCCTTAAACCATCTCATTTGGTGCACGTCGCTCTCCTGTTGGCTCAGTTTACAGTTTCACCACAGCGGTAAAATGAGCCGACCAATCTTTCACACATGGATGGGAATTGTGCTCAAACAAACTTTGAATGCGATGCCTGAACAAATTTCAAATAAAACATCTCTTGGAATTTTTTTGTAATTTTTCATTGGGCCCTTGTTCCAAAAAACCCAGATTTAATGGGAAAACGGTTTATTCATCTTGGGTGGGAAGAATGCACACAGTTGTTTTTCATTTCATTAAACTGCAGATGAAGTGGTTCACATGAGAAGCATGAACATGCATCTCATCAGCAGGAACATAGTTAGTCACAATTATCATAATCAGCCTCAAAAATCATAAATCTGCTGTTGTAAGCCAATCTGATGCACTCTACTTTTCCTTGTGTTAAAGACCCAGTATGCGGGGTTTCAGTGGCTCTACCAGGAAACACAGGATATGGCTTTCATTCATGCTTTTATTTTTATTACAGTTTTCATTAAAAATTCACCTACAAATAAGAATCATCAGTTTCTATCTACAAATCAAAAAGCTGTCTCCACAGTATGTGGACCTTACTTTCACACCATTTCATTGTATTTCTTCTGCTGTACACCACAGCAGTCCTTTATTGTGATATTACCCAAGTCACTGCATAAATCATTTATTGATGAATGAACTGTTAAAGTCTTAATCTTCCTCAGGAGCACGTTAGATGTTTGCACTTTAAAGTTCCCTTTTCTATAAGTGAATTCAGGGACTTTAACTCTGGTGTAAATTCCACAGGCCCACATTTTGTCCCCGAGTCCTGCAGACTTATAAAGAAACTGTGCGGTTATTTTGCATGCTCAGCTGCTGTTTTATGGAGGAGTGCTCAGTGAGGCATTTAAGGGGTTTCAACTGAGGGCTCAAACCTCTGGTCTTTAATGCTCTGTGCTATAGATTTGTGAACTGCAGGCTAATCTCAATACTAGGACTTAAGGTCAGGATGAAGTGGAAATGCAAAATGAAAGAAGCAGATGATGAATGGTGCAGACCAATTATCCACGTGAAGACTAAAAGCAAAGGTATTGGATATTAAGGATATACATGTGAAATTTCAAGAAAATTCATTTAATTTCTGTGCAACAGTAAATTGCAAGCTAGCATGAGTCCGTTAGCTTTGCAGTGAGCCCAGAAACCACATGTGTACAGGTCTGACTATAAACTCTGATCTATTCCTCTGTAAAATACAAGAGTTTTCCTTTGATTTCACAATCATTTTAAGCTGACTAAACATTAAGGGCCAGATTTATAAATGGGTAGCGTGTGAGCTTAGTGCTGGGTTCCCACCTGTTACACGCAATGTTGTCACGGCGCTTTCTTTGTAAATTCCAACATTACTTTTTTATGCACTAAAACTCAGTTTGCGCTAATAAATCAGGTCCTCTTTGATCTGACTTACACAAAATTAAGTAAATGTTAGCTTATGTTAAAAAAAAACATAAGCATTGAATGTACCATTAAGATTCTGACAATGATGTCTGTCAGTGAAATTTGAGGCTTTATGTGTTGTGTTATGTAATCCTAAATGATCTGTTTCTTAGCACTGACACGGACCCACCCTACAGTAACAGCGTAGACATGCGCCATAATTGGAGCTACAAATGCATAAAAAATGTTTGTCTTTGTGTGTGGATTCCCAAAGAGAGGGGAGTGGAAGGACTTATTTCAGGACACACAGCACAAAGCTGGTTTCAAAGATGGAGATATCTTATCAATTCACATAAAGAAGCTGCAGAACTGTATTTAGAAAGAAATCCTGCTGCTACTTCCAACATAAGATGAAGCAATTTGATATGAAAGTTTGCATTTCTTTAACCTCCAATAATAAATATGAACCAAACCACTGAAGATGAAGCTATTCTTGATTGCTTTAATTATTTATTCTGTATAGATCTTTTGCCTCAGTCGACATACATGCATTGGGAGTTGTTCTCCAACTGCACAGTATGGCTGCTGCATTGATGCATTTTTCCAATGAACAGCACCAACCAGTGCAGTATATGTAGGCTTTCATGCTGCACACAAGGGGAGCATCTTGCATAGCTAACTAGGTGAATTTCATTGCCTTTAGACTCTTAAGAAAAAAGCTGTGGGATGTCAGTATTTCTTCATATTAACTGTGCAACAAAAACACCAAAGTATACAGTTACCCACCTTTTCACCCTTTGGACCAGGAGGGCCCTATGAAGAGACAGAGAGAGAAAAAACAGATTGTTCAAACTATTACAGCATAAAAAAACGAAGAAACTATGTTCCAAGTCACTTGTAATTGTGAAGACAATCATGATGTTGTCTGGAAATATAACAAAACTATTTAAAACCGGGGTGACCAATCACGTTAAAAAACAAACAGAGCCGCTAAGCGAGGCTCGAACGTCAAGAAGTGAGACACAACTGAAAGATTAATAAACTGACTTTGTGTACTTTCTGACATCTTTCACGATTTGATTAAAATCCGCTGTCACAAACTGGGAAACAGTGCACTGTAGGCAGCAGGGCTTATGCAAACATACAATTAAAACCTAAAACAGGCCCAAATCAAGTCCATGTTTACTTAGAGGATCAAATCCAGCAATCTCCAACCAAGTATTGGCAGGCACGTTGTAAAAAAATGTGCCCTGAAAAAGAGGACTACGTCTTTTTTTTTGGTGAGGTAGCTTCCAGCATCCGTCAGTCGGCAGGCAGCACCTCCTGGGTGGGCTCTGTAAAAGATCGTGGAGTTAAGGAGAGGATCTGACAATGAGGTGTGCATCCACATGCTGAGCTTAACGAGTACGTGTTAAAAACTGCTTCTTCTTTTTAAATTCAAGTTGAATGCTGAAGTATGTTGGGTTTTTTCTTGGGAGGTCAGGCATTTGATCATCAAGTATTAGATCATCAACTAACTGACCACCCGCTTAGCAACAATGTTCCTGAGCTCCTGGAGAAACTGCTGTGCCAGTATTAATCTGCATTTCACTTACAAAAGAAATCCTATTTGCTTTCACTGGCCATAAATAAAATGTGAATATGAGAACAGATCAGAATCTTTAAAAAACACAAAATGATATGCAGGTAAAAGGAACAACTTGTTCACGAGTAGTTTTAGCATTAAGCACAAAAATCTGTAGTGGTTAGCATTCCAGGCTAATCCTGCTCTAACGCTGTTTGTTTCCAAATACAAAAATATGCTGACACTAATCCATAGATTGATGATATTAGTATAAAACCTGTGTTTGGATGCTGTTCCTTTCAGTCTATGGACCAGTGACCCAGAATAGCAGGCTTGGGCTTCCACTGCGCTGGCACACATTAGCAGAGTCTAAAACTGAAATGCTCCAGAGGTAATTCAGCAGTTTTCCTCAGCCAATTTCTGCCACACTGCTGAGAGGTAAGAGAGCTGTAGCCAGGTTTCTCCCTGCTCGCTGCCTTTGGATATTATTTTTGATGCTTATTTAACTGTCTGTAACTTTTTAGTTATGTATAGTAGTTCGTGCAGTCCCAACTGGATCTGCACAGGGGCTAATTTGCCTTGGTTTTGGGGGTTGTGAACCTGCACATCAAGCTTGTGCGGTGCATCATCCCATTTATTTAAATACGAGGCTTCCTCAAGCCTCAGCGCAGGCCGTAATCCAGACACAAACATCTGAGGACGTGCTCCTGCTGTTCCTTGACCAGCCGTGCAAAGAGGCACAACACACTTGTAAATACAAAATGGGAATATTAGGAAAACAATGTTTCCGACTGCAGTTCCCTGGGGAGGAATAAAGAGGCAGAATATTGGAATCAAATGTGACTTTTACATTTATAATGATGCTGAGGCATTCCAGAGGGGCTAAATAAGTTTCCAATGTTTTCCTCAAAAAGGAAGGCCGCTAAAGGAAATTGGTGAAACTTTGTTTTTTCTTTTTTCTTTTCTTTTTTTGTTTGAGGAAATTGCCTTTGGATAATGGGAGGCTATTGACATTACTACAAACACAAATGGCTGGAAGAAAAAGAAATATAAATAGAAGCACTGCATCATTTCACAAAAGCCTGTTTAACGTATGATGCTTGGCACTAACACATGCAGTTGGCGCAGATAATTACCAGGCTGATTTGCTGTGCGCCACATTATGTGTAAATGAAGGGAAATTGCAGCATTATATGATGTAGCAACACAATAAATCCAGAATGTGGAGCAACATAATGAAACTTCATCAAGCCCATGTTGAGCTCTGATAACTGGGAATAAATAAGGATAATGTAGCTGGAGGTGTTGGTTGGGCCAGTTGGTGTCATCCTGGGGTTTAAATAGATATTCTTTATTGTTACATCATTACTGAAGTTATAACATTATGAAGGTGCATTTTTTAACCCAAAACCAGATCATTCCCCACATCTTATCAAAGGTATTTTAAATTAATTTGAGTTCAATTTCATTGGTGTAGCGCCAAATCACCACAGTTATTTCAGGCACTTCATATTGTAAGGAAAAGACCACAATAATCAGAAGACCCCCTATAAACAAGCACTTGGTGAGAGTGGGAAGGAAAAACGTCCTTTTAACAGGAACCAACCCCCCTGCAGAACGAGGCTTAGGGCGAGGCAGCTATCTGTGGCACGTGGTTTGATTAAGTGAGAGTAAAAATAGCAATTCAAAAATAAACCAAGTAAAAACAAGTCAACAACATAAGAAGCCCAATGGGATGCAAACCCCAGTCTCATTGCTGATAAACCTGCAACTTTTCCAACCTAATTATGTAGGCTTCTAAAACAGGCTAGCTATCTCTTGGGAGCTAGCATCCAAACACCAAAAGACACCTTGTAAGTAAGGGCAGATCAAGCATCTGATGAGATATTATAACTGAGTTTAAATGCCTGTAAGTGTCTTTTTTGATAATCAGCACTCCTAAACATATCAGTCAAATTTTAAAACTTGGCAACTGCACTCAGTAGCTTTTTATGGTAGACTTTTTCTCTTTTTTTTGCTGAAGTGGAACGGTACTTTTAGCACACCTATATCTCACCAAACAGTAATTCCACTCTTCCATCTGGACATGAAGCATGTGGAAATGATTTGGCTGCACAGTGTGCACCTGCTCATTATACGCTTCATCATTTGCACATCACTTGGAGAGACAACACGTGCTGGAGCTTTTCCAGAAGGTTTAAGCAAGTGCAGCAAGGGTCTTTTATAGAGACTATTAAAACAGCTCTCTTGCAAAGACTTTTTCCAAACTGTACTACAGTGGAACTGCAGTGTGTGTCTTTGTCAAACCGTCTCTGCAGCTTTGTGGTTTCAGTCTGCCCTGAGGAAGCTTTCTAATCAGCACCTGTGTCTGCTTTTCACATCTATTTTACTGCTTCTGCTCTGGCTCTGTTTCATAAGCAGGTGCTCCTTGGGTCATGGCTGTTCATTAGCAAGTTCCTCTGCTGAACACGATTAACCCTCTACAGTGCTTTCCACACCTACTAGATTGCACTTAATTCTTAAATGACTGCATGCATAGCTTACAATAACAAACTAATTAGGTTTGGCAAAGAAGCAGTTCACTGAAATACACTTCACGTTGTTTGCGTTTTCTTCACTTTGATTTGGTATAGATCAAAAATGTAAGATGCATGCTGAATTAAAAGCTTTTTTTCAGTAAAGCCCTACCAGTGTTTGATGTTTGCTAACTACGATCTGTGTGTGGATTCTCTCCATCTTCCTTCCACAGTCCAAGGTTAAGTGTGTTAGGTTAATTGGTGATAGCAAATCGGCCACAGGTGTGAATGGTTGTCTCTGGCCGATTTACGTGTAACACGTTACAAGGTAACAGTTTACTGTAATCACATTATATTTTTCAGTGACAGTGATGTAATGCTTTGTAAGATAAGATAAGATAAGATAAGATAGAACTTTATTAATCCCTCGGGTGGGTTCCTCTGGGAAATTCGATTTCCAAAAAAGCGCAGCAACGACCGAAGTTACAGAGTTACAGAATATTATATATATACACACACACACATATATATAATACAGAGACAATATAAATAAAATATACGAAGGGGATAAATAGAATAAATAGGAATAAAAAATAAATAAATAAATAATAATGTTGTATTAAATTCAGTAATTACATTACAGTTACAATTATGATGTTCCTTGTGTTACAACGGTTCTTAAATTAGCGACATGCCATGTGGATTAAAAGAAAATAACGTCGAACAAACACGTTTTTTTTCTGCTACAGTCAGCTAATTTGAGTTCGCGTGCAGTAGGAGGAAAATGTTGGGGTGGTCTACAAAGGAAATATGGACATTAACTCCATTTTTGTTGCACAAAAGGATAATAGCACAATGGTAATGTGTAAACTGCATCCAGGACAAAAGTAACTGCACTGGGTTCGCTGCAAGCATATGCACAGATAGCATGCTAATGCTAAGCTAGCCAAAAACCCAGAGCAACATTAGCTGAGTGGATGCTAACCCCAGACCAGCAGCCAGAGCCTGAACTTCAACAGGTAACAAAAGTAGCGATGATTTGTCAGACTTGTAGCCTCCTTTTCTACCTGTTCAAGTTTTTGAAGTAGAATCACCGTGGAGATCGCTCTGAAAGCTCTTTGGGATGACTTCCAGCTTTGTGTTCATACGTAAATACCAAAAGAAAGATAGTACGTGTGTCCTCATTATGATAGGGATTTGTAAAGGTGTGTGGGGCATTTTTCGGAGTGTCAAGAGAGTAATGTAACCAGTACAGTAACAAATCACTTTCTCCTGTGAATAATAAAGTAATGTGCTGTATTATTAATTAGTATTGTGTAGTATTAATATAATACAATTGCTTTCCTTGAGTAACAACCCAAACACTGGTGTAAAGCCTGACCTTTGGCTGTCGGGATAGGCTCCAGCTGCCCTGCGACACTGAACTGGATAAGAGGAAGAAAATGGATTTTTGGATGAAAATCTTAAAAGAGCTTCATTTCATGAGCAGTAATAACCTCCTGCTCAGTTTAATGCAGTTTTTCTTTGGTTAAGCTTTACAACAGTGAGAGAAATACAGATGCTTTGGAAACATCACTATAAACCAGCCTGAATGCATCATTTTATATCCTGAAGCCAAATAACCCTGGAGAAATAATGCAATATCCAGCAGAAAACACTGAATTGTACATTACTCAAACACAGTATCTCACAAAGAGTTTTAGAGGAGGTTTCATTATTGCTCATAAAATCAA